GGAAGAAGCAATGTAGCTTTATTGTGTGCATTCCCCTTTTCCATGTGCACCAATCCTCTGGACTGTATGTAGTAGTGGCTCTACTGGTTTCTGGGGATGTGACATTAGCATGAGTTAAAAAAAAAAAAAAAAAAAAAAGAAAGTCTTGTGACTCTCAAGCATATCTGTGATCACCTACATGCAGCCAAGGCTAACCAGGCTCAGCCATGGACCCTCATGCTTTTTTAAATCACATCTAGACTAATCCTGTTGTCTGTCAGAAGACCCTACTCTTCTTCTTCACTCTGTCAATCTGTCTCTTTGTGGTCGAAACAGTCAACGTTCAAATCCCACGTCTCCTCCAATCGTTGTCGGTTCATTTGTCTGTTTCTCTGTTCAGATTTGTTTTGTTTTGTATGTATATTTTTTCTACTGTGAATATCAAGAGATGACCTTTATTTTCTGTCAATGCCATGGATTGGGTCTGTTGTGGCTGATCAGGACACTGACATCTGGGCTGGTTAAAAAGTTTTAAGGAGGAGGACACCCTCTCCCCCCTCTGCAAAGGACAAAAAAAAGCTGGACTGGGACAATCCTGTGTGCCATAAGAACTATTAACAGACATGAAATCTAGATTGTAACTTTTCGTCTCAGGGAGGCGGCCTGATGCTTTGTGGTTGGAGGATAAAGAGGATGAGGAGGAAGAAGAGCTACCTACCTACCTTTTATCTACTCTGACTGAAGCGCAAGTTCTCAGCATCCTTGCAACAAATAAAGCAGAATGGAGATGATAAGCCCAAGGACAAGTATTCAACAACAAAAACCCAAACACCCTTTTAACAAATCTGAAATATTTTCTCCCCCTTTTGAAGATAATCAGGAATCCTCCTCTCTCTCTCTCTCTGATGTGATGTGGTTTGGACTGCCCTCTAGCGATTGGATGGGAGCGTTGCAGGTCAGGGGTGGCAAAGCAAACAGGGCCCCGACCCATAGTGCCTTGCTCCAGCAACTAAACGGCCACCTGACCCCTCCCACCCAAGTTCACCCCCACCCCCCCTGAGCAGAACCGCCACTGACTGGCGTGTCTCCACCAATCACTAAAGAGGATTTTCCACTTCCAAACATAAAATGAAAACACATGAATTATGTTGTTATATGCTCTGTTTTGTTTCGTTGTAACGGCAGTGAAAAACATTCGAACTGCTTGCTGAGAAAATACTGTAATTTGGGATTATATGACTGATGATTTTTACCAAAAAAAAAATGTTGAACTTGTCTCTACTCTGCTAAGCTCTGGCTTGCTTTGTGCATGGAAATATGAATTATCTATACCAGTGGACAGCTTGATAATTTGATGTTTACTGATTTTGCTTCTCATCAGTCTGTTTTGACAGTGACGCCCCAAAGCACATGCAAAAACCCATGATTAGCAACAAGTGATTGCATTACAATTGGGGATTTCCATTTGAAATGCATTCAGTTGTTCCATGATTTTCAAAAAAAAAAAAAAGAACCGATTAATAAGCTCTTAACTGTAAATAGCAGCAGATCACCTTGGCTCCTGAAAAACGAAAAGCACTTGATTTTAGGGAAGTTTAGGTTTGTTTTGTTGAACTCTGATGACCTAAAAAAAAAAGCGGTTGGACAGAGCATGCTAGTAATGCAGCGCAGGGTGAGAACAAAGTATTGTATGTATTATTGTTTTGTTTTAAAGGAAAGAAAAAAGTATTACATTTTAGAGATGTTGATTTCTATTTTTTTTAGCCAAAGTAGGGAGGGCAAATACAATTACTTTTTCTGACTGTAAACTTTTACTACTCCTGTACATTATGAATTTAACATTGTTATCAATGTGTACATAACTTTTTTCTAAATTTAAAAAGATAGATTTTTTTTTTTTGTTTTGTTCTTGTTTTTTGTTCATGACACAACCCACTACACAGAAAACAGCAGAGTCAAGTCTGTCAATGTATTTAACAGGAGCAGCACAACTCCAGTCTGAGGGCTTAACCCTGTGTAACAAGACATAAACAGTATGTTGCCTGAAATGTTTCGCAGTGAACCCTGCTCTTAATCCGATGCATGTTCTGAATGTTGGCCGACAAGAGGTCATGCATTTGAACCACCCCACCCAGCCACAGCAACATGTCACCCATAAAGCCTTTCTTGTGTCACAAATACATCACCTATCACAGATGATGTTGTAAGGAATTGTTTCTGACAAGAGAGCTGTGTTTAGTTTGCAAATGTGTGTGTGTGTGTTTTTTTTTTTTTTCTTCTTTTTTTGTATGTGAAAAACTGGAAAAGACCACTGCACATCCTTTCGAAGAAGAGGAAACATGAGTGATAAAATCCTGAATAAGCTAAAAAGAAAACTTTACTGATGGTTCGGCAACCATGCATCTTTAAGTTTCAACTGTAAAGCTGGAGGTGTTAAAGGAGGAAATTGACACTTCGGGAAATATACACTCTTTTGCTTTCTAGGTCCATATCAATCTCATGCCTCTATGCTAAACATTAAGCTACGGCCATCAGCCGGTTAGCTTAGCCTAGCAAAAAAACTAGAAAAGGGGGGAAACAGCTAACCAGTGGTAACAAAATCCACCTACCAGCAGCTCTTAAATTCACTAATTAACACATTATATCTCGTTTGTTCAATCTGTACAAAAGTAGTAGAGTAAAAACCTCAATTTGCGATTTTACAGGGCATTCAGGGCTTCTTGGAGACTCTGCTGGTTGCCTGGCAACAGGTCCAGTTCAAGAAATAGTCCGACATGTAACCTAACCGCCCCCCCCCCTTAAAAAAAAAAAAGAAAGATGTTTTTGAACAGATTAAAGAAATGAAACATAACGTGTTAATTAGTAAGCTTTTGAGTAGCTTTTTATAGGTGCCTTAGAACTGAGCCAGGTTAGCTGTTTCCCCCTGTTTCCAGTCGTTATGCTCAGATAAGCTAACCTAAGATAAGCTGTATCTTATATTTAACGGGCAAAGAGTGGCATCACTCTTTGAATCCCTGCCAGACAGTGAACAAGCTTCTTTCCCAAAATGTCGAACTGTTCCCTCGCGGAGGCCGAGCGTAAAAGGAGAAACTCCGGCTGTTAATGAATTAAGTACTGTGTGTCAGTAGTGTGATGATGAAGTGTTCGTGTTTGTTTTATTGATGAGGGAGAGAGACGCCACTGTTTGCAGACAGACAGTGGGGGGCGTTGCAGGTGTGGTGAAGACAAAAAGCTGAGGAAAAGCAGCCTCTTCTTGACTTGTAAGTCATCTGTCGGTCCAGTGGTCTGCTCCAGTTTACACACCAATACCATAGATTTGTCTCTATCCTGTTCCCTGTGCTGTACGTTGTTGAAATCAGTGGAGTTGTGTCTGTGTTGTCCTCGGTTGAAGTCTATACCACGGCTTTCTTTGTCTCGCTGCTCCTCCTCCTCCTCTTCCTCTTTGCGTCCTTCAAGTCTCTTTCTCTCCTCGGTGCACATAGGTGGTCCCCAGAATGCTGTGTGTAGTCTTGCAGGATACCTCTTTTTATTAATGTCATTTTTATTGCCGATGAATATGCTGATGTATTAATTTTGGGATATGTTGTGTATACATTATGTTGAGACATCGGTGCGTATGCAGACAGCAGGTGTATATGTGTGTATGTACAGTCCAAACCCTCAAAACCCGCAACCCACAGAGATCGCTTCATCCCTCACACTGGATCCAAATGTGCCATTATCTTTATGTATCACATATATCAACATATTACACACACACACACACACACACACACACACACATACATACACACACACACACACACACACACACACACACAGAAATACATACATATTGTACAGGATCAAAAATGTGCCATGACTAAATGAACGCTTGACAATTTATTTTTTCTATGTTTTCAAAGGAGAGTCAAGTAGTGACATGTACAGAAAATGTTGCAATGATATGAAAATAAAAATCTTGCTGTGTGTAAATTATTCAACAATTAACTGTTTATATTAAAATTATGAATAAAATTATTGGAGAATATTGTCTTCTCGCGCTTCTTAACTATGGACTGAGGCTGGTAAGCAGAACTTATAGGACTCAGTGTTGTCACTACACTCAACAAGACAGTTCAGAGACCAAGGAGACAAAATAAGAGGAACACGTCAGTGGATTTTTGCGGTACTTTACTTTTAGTATTTCTGCTGCCTGCTGAAATGATCAGATCACACAACTTTGGTACTTTCCTCACAGGCACCTTGGGAGTAGTTGAGAAAGTTAGTGCTTCTCCTTCATTTCGCTTTTCCGTGGTCAGCTTGCTTCTCTGACATCAGATAATGATGCAACTGCAAAGGAAAGAAGGAAATGAACAAATAAAAACAAATGTAATTCATAGGTTGTGTTTTCAATCAGTTTTTTTTTTCAGTGCAGAATCACCACAAAACCGAGGACAGCAACGTACTGCATACTGTAATGTAACACACATTATGAAATCTTTCTTTTTCACTCTCACTGTCTGTGAACGACGTTTCCTGCACCACCCTGTTCACATGTTCATCCACACACTGAGACCTCAAAGCAGATGTTGACGAGCAGTGAACAGTGTTTGCACCGGGGTGTGATTCTGAAACCACTGTAAATGCAGCTTGTTCCTCCAAACCCTGTTTCTCAGGCCTGTGCAGCTGCAGCGGCTGCACCACGCTGACTGGCATCCAATCATGAATGCATTGCTTTTCGTTTAGTTTAGTTGAGTGTATGATGAAGCCAATCTGAGCTGTAGACACAATCTAACAGTTTTAAGAGCCTGTGCACTTTTGCTACAGTGCTGTGCTGTCATGGAGCCCATAAGCTGCCATAACATGTTTCAAAGCAGCAGTGATGTGTGAAACTGCATTTATGGGCCAATCAGCTGCGCCTCATAGACAGAAAAAGAGGAAGCAGGGTTGAGAGCCTGTGCCTGTGCCTCTGCTTGCTGGCTCTCGAGACTCAAGAGTGAGGAAGAACCCGACGTTCTCACACAACAGTCAGACCTGAAGGATCTGTAACCCACCTTTCTCCTCTCTGTGGCTTATTATGGTGCTCAGAAAGGATTTAAAGTCACCACCTGTTACATATCATCAAATGTAAGTAGAATTTCTGTGGCTTTTCTGAGTCTTGTCATGAACTTTTACCGGTTTCATGCAGTTCTCTCAACACCAGGGCCCATTTCGTTCCATGCATTTGTTTATGCAGTTGTCTCAAATGTTTTCTGTAGTCGTGTTCTCTGTCTAATACATTTCCACTTGCCATCTCTGGGCCAGTGTTTTTCTTCCCCTGTCTGTGGGAAAGTTGGGAGACTTTTCCACTTGATGCGCACTGAGCTGAACTTGACAGTCATCCGTGATTACACTTGTGCAAAATTAAGAAGCGCAGCAGTTGCAACAATTGTCAGCGAAAGGCCTAGTAGCTGTAGCAGTGAGATGTATGTACAGGTATCACTCCTCTGTTCCAGCAGTTTCTCTCAGCATTTTGCTGTCAAAGACTTCACTTTGCTTTTTAAAGCGTTTACACAAGATGTCTGTGTCTGTGTCCCTGTGACTCACAATAAGAAAAAAAAAAAAAACTGCATGTATCATTGCCCTGCACTTTCTTTGCAATTGCTTCCTTCTCTTTTTCTGAACCAACTACTGACACATTATCTTTTTGAGGCATTCATTTCTAAATGTCTTAAACAGAAACACATTACCTCCCTTTCTTATTCCACTTTTCACTCCTGTGTCACTTCCAAACACTATTTTCCTGCTCTTGTGTCATTCCAGTCAGTTTACAAAATCTCTGCAGAGAAGATCTTTGTCTGCCATAACTTTTTTTCCTCCATAAACTTGGAGATGCACAGATATTTCAAACATAGAAAAGTAGAGTTACTCCAAAACAACAGGACAGTGGCATGTATTCTTAGTTGTTGTTACCTGCTCCTGATGATGGTTTAAAAGTAAAACTGAAAGCTTGAAACAGCAAATAAGCTTCTGTCTTTTCTTTCGTAGAAACTTATAGTTTATCGTAAAGAATTTCAAAATTTTCAACATGTCCGAATCAAACCACTTCATCTTTAACGCCTCCTTCTCTCTTCTTACCTCTCCTCCCACTGTCACCTTTTTTCCTTTTTTCCTTTCCTGCTCTTTCTCTCACTCCACTGGAGTCTTTAGGGAGGTAATCCCCAACCAGCAGCTCCTGGAACCTAGCCTTGGACTCTCTCTCTCTCTTTTCTCGACTCCCCTCCCTCCCTCCCTCTCCCTCTCCCTCCCTCACCCCCACAACCCTCCTCTCACTGGGTGCAAGAGCTCCAGTGTGCGTGAGCTCTAGTTCCCAGCTGGCCTCCCCACTGCGCTGCTCCTATGGCGGACTCTCCTCTCAACAACTCCTGGCCCTCCTTCTCCAAACTCTGGATGAAGCGATGGTCCTTCAAGAGAGGTATGAGGGAAATCTGGTTTTAGATTGAGGTTATAGTTCTGTTATTTTTATGGTTTTTTTGGACAGCACAGTGAGTGAAGACTGAGAGTGAAAAAAAAACGGATAGAGAGGGGAGGCGGGTGTCATCCAGCAGAGGTCGTGGACTGGATGTGACCTTAGGATGTTGCTGATATGTGTCTCTTGGCTCTTTTCTGTCATTTCTCTCCTTCTCACCTCTCATTCAGTTCTTTTCATGACATTGTTGTTTACCATTTTGACCTGATTCTGGGTTTGTGGTGAATGACGGTTGCAGCCTTTCACATGGCAGTTTGGAGCAAAGTTTAGTGAGTCATTTCTAACCCTGTTGCATTGTATATGATGTGAGTGAGAATGCACAAATGTTACAATTTGAAACCTCTGATTATTTATTGGAAAAGTATCACATTCTGTCTATAGTTCTGCCACTGTAACCTGTATTAGTCAATGAAGAGTTTTTGTTAATGAGTTTAATGTAGCATTGGTGTGATTTTAAATTTTTCTAAGAGTTCACTGAGAAAAAGACTGACAAGTGGAGTTTCATACACACCATAGATGTTAATTTTTCTCTCATATATCCTGCTCTATAACACACAGAACTTGAGTTATTTCATGCCCTCTGTTCCCATGCTGTTATCATCAGAGGAATATGACATTTTAGACATAAAGAAGCCGAGTAGGAAGCTTCCATTTTGCTTCAGTTGTAGTGTCTGTTCTAGCTTGGCGCTTTGAAACTGTAGTCAGACAAATTTCTGATCAAAGAGGATCTGCGAGATGACAGTTGTTTTGATCTGTGCTTCAACCTCAGATCTAACAGCCTCTGTGTTCTGTTTTCACCTTCACACATCTGTCACGCGCACACACACACACACACACACACACACACACACACACACACACACACACACACACACACACACACACACACACACACACACGAACACACACACACACACATGGACTCACACGGACACACATGGACACACATCTAGGTACTGAATGGTCACAGAGACCTTAATCTACACACTTTGTTGCAAAGGCGAAGTAGTCAATAAAGTATTGCAAGTATTGAATAATGTATCTTTAGATGCATTACAAGGATGACTTTTATCTTGTCATCTGTGGTTTCTGTTGTGTGTGTGTGTGTGTAAGTGAGTGTGACAGCTATACTGCAAAATTTGTTTATTGTACCAGTCAGTATCTCGGTTGAAAACATGGCTGTGGACACGTGTATCTCCTCTAAATCTGTGTGCATTGTAATAACTCATTACATATATATTGTAAAAATTCAACCGACCTTATCATATGATGCCCAAGTTCCTTTTGTTACTCCCACTTAGCGCTTGTGTACACTAACCTTTGTGGCAAACACATGCCCTTGTTTCCTTTTTGTCACATTTGCTCAGTCTGGCTTTTTCACATGACTGAAGAAAGACTGAACACAAACAGTGTTTCATACTGTCACACACAAGTTTGTCATTTACATTCCACATAATTAAAAATAAGTTTCTCATGTACTGTTCTATAAATACTTATTACTATTTATACTATTTATATAGATTTAAAGTTGTGTTTACTGGCTGTTCTCCCTCAGTTTGAACAAAATACAAAACAAATTTAAAGTAATGAAATAAAAAAAACCTGCTAGAGCATTGATTTAATTTTTTAAGAACAATCCAAAATAAAACTTAACTTACATAAATTCACTATAATAGCTGATTTATTGAAGGCTGTTTGTCAAACCAAGTCAATCAATCCAATTTTATTTATAAAGCCCAGAATCAAAACTTTACAATCCATCATATATATATATGACAACCTCTATTTTCAGACCATCAGAAATAAGTTCACGAAAACATTTAACAGGAGAAGAATGAGTCAAACCTTTAGAGCAACAGAAGCGGGATCCCTCTTCTTCTTCAATGTGGAGAAAAAAAAAGAAAAAAGTGTTACAATATATAAGTGTAATACTGAGTTAACAATAATAATAATTCATTTAAACAGTTTTAGGCAAGGTGTTAAAATCACTTGCTGATTTCTTAGTTGATAATAGTCATTAGTTTTGTCAGAGGACCACCCTTTGTTATGTAGAGCCAGACTGTAGGGAAAACAGCTGACTATGACAGTGCCAAAACAGTTATGACACACACACACACACACACACACACACACACACACACACACACACACACACACACACACACACACAGACTCACTGATGTTTCATCCTTGTGTGATGTATTAGCAGATATGAGAGGCCAACCATAAAAGGCTACAGTAGCTCTCCAAGACAGCATCAAGCAGCCGCTGCAGTGTCTGTACCGAGTGTCTAAGTTTACACTTAACACAAGTGGGATTTGGACGCAAACAAATTCTCCCTCCAGCGGGGACACTGCCATCCCCACAGCCTAGGCCAGTGATTTAGTAATATAGAAAATAGATCTACAGTGTGTCTGTCTCTGTGTTTATTTGAGAGCATCTCTGGCTGTCGCGCTGAGAGGGGGAGTGGATGCTGTTGGTTTATAGCGGGACATGGTGCAGGATTTAGAGTGTGGCCTGTCTGTATTTTGTATCACTGCACAACACTACCACTTACTGGAAAGTCAATGTTTGCTTGTAATAACACAGATAAACTGACACAGAGGTATATAGAGATCTTCAGTTTGAGTCTGAAAGAGCTTTTTTTGTTGTTATTTCAAACCTGCTTGTTGTGATAGTTATAGATGGTTAGTTAGTTAGCTTTATTCATTCAGGAAGTCTGATTCAGATCAAGATCTCTTTTGCAAGAGAGACCAAATTGCACAAATACAATAAGATAAAATTGGTACAACACAAAACCATGGAAAAAGGGATATGAAAATCTCCATCCAGTTGTGTTGTCGTTGTCACTATTTTGAAGTTAGTATGAGGGACTATTAAAGATAATTGATCCTGTGATATTGTGTTCACAGATAAAAGCTTTGAACTCAACTAAGCATGTTAAACATCTTGGCAACATACTGTAGATAGCAATGCCTCATGAATGAAGATGCTATTCCTCTGATGCCTTCTAAATGCCACTGATAACTCCGACAGGTGGGAGAACGGCAGGTGGTTTAGTGGCAGCAACATGAGCACACAGAATATATCGACAGTACAATGTAATGTAGTTAGCATGATGGATTATATAACAGTTTTTCAGTTTTTAAAGCTGCTCTTATTGATATTCTTATATTAACAATGAATCAAATGTCTATGTTTAATGCGAAAGGGGTCGATGTAGCATTTAGCATCTTTAATCTGGGTTTTATTGCCTGCAGTTTTACTGTCCAGTCCCACAGCTCTCAACAACCATTCCTTTAAGAGTTGGTGGAGACCAAACAGGAGGTAAAAGGAAGTGTGAACACTGGACTTACATTTGTCCAGTGGGCAAGAAAGACAACACCAGATGAATGCTAATGTTTTGGCCAACTTAAATAGATTCACACAGTGGATTGTATTTCTATTATGTTTGGTGCCCCACATCCTACGATGTTTATGTTTCAGTTTTATAGTCCAGAGGATGTCCACCATGCAGCGCCTCCTCACTTCCAGCCCCATTCACCCTTCCTTTCCTTGTGGAAACAACAGATAGAACAGGTGCTGTATAGCATTAGCAGCAGCTGTTTTGCAGAGTACCTCTTTACACTGGTCATGTAGACAAAATTAACCTTCAGATATAGAAACAGGGTAAATGTGTTCAAGGAGAATTGAGTCAGGCCCCGTGGAGCCAGGCCGGCTTAGGCTGTGGCTCGGGTTCACAGGAGGCGTTCCCTTATGAAATGAGGATTATGTAACCTGTCGTAACTGTGGCTCTTCCCTCCTCAGATGGACATGGTGTGGCTGAAACCCTAACACTGAGCATGACATACTCAGACGCCTTTACAGACTTTTCAGACACCACTAGACACTGACAGATTTATTTCCATAATGAAAGAAATTTTTCAATAATGAACATTTCTTTCCTCAAATATGTGTTACCACTCTCAGTTTGCCTCTTTACTATAAATCTCCTTCATATAGCATATACTAACTATTATATATTGTATTATTTACCACAAGTGAGCAGCTTCTCAGGCCACTAAAAACTGAGTGAGGGAATAATCTCCGGCTCTCCACCACCGACATGGAGACTAATGCTGGCTCACTGAGCAGTTGCCAGTGGTGACGGTGGTTTGTGGCATCATGTGAATCAAGGAATCTGTTTATGCAGTGGAAATGTAAAGGAGCTTTCAGTGAGAGGCTGGAGCAGGGGGCTTTTTCTTCCGTCATACACAAAAACGCTTAAATTGAATACACAGGTGTTGAGCAGCTGCTGAAACCAGCTCTTCTTTGTGTTGTTTTTCTCTTCATGGTTGCTGTCGAATTTATTGTGTTTTCAAGATATGTTTGGGACTCACAAACATCATGTCCATTATCTTTCAGCATCTGAGTGCAAGCCATGTAGTCAGTCCTGTGGTTCTCCCAGTGCCCAACTCAGCATCCAGCCTTCTGCTCCCAGTGGGAACGGATCTTCCTCCTCACTATCCCCCGTTTCCATCACTGAGGACGTCTTCTTTGATAACATGACAACGAATGACAACCAGGTGAAGCTGTACTCTTCATTAGGGTCATCTTTATTTTCTCATTTTTTCCCCTTCCTCTTTCGGTCATGCATGACTCTAGGAAATGCAACGTCAAGTCTGTCAATTTGTCCGCTACATAAGTCCAGACTAAAAGATCTCAACAACCATTAGATGGATTGACATTCATTGTTCCCAGATGTTTCTTAATGACTTTGGTGTTCCCTTCACTGTTCTTCTAGCGCCACCATGAGTTTGACATTTGCAGTTTTAGGTGAAATACTATGGGGTAGATTGCCATGACATTTGCCGCCAGTATTCAAAGTCCCCTAGTGGATAAATTGTAATGACTTGGATGATACCATGACCTCTCCCCTTGTGAGGTTGACACTTTTGAATTTTATTGAATAATCTTCACAACCATTAGGTGGACTGCCAAGAAAGTTGGTATAGACATTCAAGTCAGCAGAGAATGATGAGTAATAACTTTGATCTCCTGATCTTCCATCTAGTGTCACCATCAGGTCTTTGTGTTTATGTCTGCTTAACGTCATCATGTTAGTATCGTCACTGTGATCATGCTGATGTGACCATTTCGCTCAGCATCACAGAGCCACTAGCATGGCTGCAGACTTGACCTTGTTAATAGGATTTTGAATTGCAGCTGATTTTCCAAATATCTTGTTTGTCTTCTCTCTGTTCTCCACGTCTATCCTCCTTTTTTTCTCTCTCCCCTTCCTTTAAAAATTTTCCATGGCTCCACTTTGCCTCCTTTCTGACTTGCAGGATGCGTGTTCAATAGTCAGTGACTACGACTGCCCTGGTGTGGAAGTGGGTGGCAGCGTGGAAGACCTGCTGGGCTTCAGCCCCTCTCTCAGGGCTTCTGAGTACTTCAAAGACTTGGAGGGAGGGATACCGGCTTCACAGTCTACTGCATCCACTGTAACCACAGTCCCAGAGAGCAAAACCCTGACGGTTGACCAACAAGTGTCTCTAAACACAGACCCTCCTGCCATCAACCTTCCTCTACAGACTTCTCTGACCGCACTCTCCCCTCAGGTCAATGCACCATCACCGCCCTACTATATACAGCCTGCGGAGGAACCTCTTCACAGCTTTGTGGTCACTCAGCTTAGTCCTAAGTTATTGCCAGGTTGTCTCATTGACAGTGGTGTCTCCTCAGACCCTTCAACAGAGCTTAGTTTGACAATAAATCTGAATGGACTGTTGGGTTCAGTGGAAACAGCAAAAGGGATAATGGGATCAGAGGCAGTAAAGGAGGAAACCACAATGGATTTTGACGGAGAGCCAGATGAGGACAGCTTTCCTATCCTGGTCAGATCCATGTCAACGTCCCGAAGACACAGCTGGGGCGTCCCTGTGTCCCCCATTGACCTGCGGAGGAGGTGAGATGGATGACAGAGGGAGGGGAGGGATAGAGAGATGAATAGTTGAATGGAAAAAATTCAGAGCACTGTCATTACTGCACTTTCCTGCCAAAGTCCTTCGTAGGTTTCTACATGATGAGACTTTGTGCTTTAGTATCACCCCGCATCACTCACTGTGACTCTCGTCAGCTCTGCCCTCATTATGCTATTTAATGGTTTCTGGTGGTTTAGTTAGCTCTTTAAATAATGCTGTCATGACAACTTTGAGGTATGCACAGTGAACTGCGCACCAAAATATGTTATGAAAACCAAAACTGAAAAACATTTCAAGCTGGTTAACCCCCTTCCTGTGTGTTTGTTGCTGTGCTGTCAGACTGAGTCTGGATACCACGGCCATGGACAGCGATGGAGAGAGAGAGGATGATGAGGAGAGCCATCAGCAGACCTACAGCTGCACGGCCTGCCCTGAGGATGAGACGGATGGTCCCGGGATGAGGTTCCCCTGTCCCAGAGCCAGGGTCACTAGCATGGTAATGATGAACGGTGACATACTATACCTAAAAGATAAGGCTAGAGATGTTTTTGTCACTATTGTCATTTCCAACAAATCTAATCTCTCAAGACAAAAACCAACAGTGTATTTCTCAGTTTCTCAGTACTTTCCAACTTCCTTACTCTGCCCGTGGCACTCAGCTCCATACACATAGTTTCCCACTGAGGATGTAAATCTTTCAAAATGGGTCACCAGTATATACTTTTTTCTTTCTTTTTTGTTTTTTAAAGGCAAAAGTCATTTCCTAAAACAGATGAGAAAAACAGATGAGTTCATCACAAAGAAAAAACACGTCACCCAGTCCAACACTGCGGCTCGTTCATGTGTTTTTTACAGTATCCGTTTTTGGACAACAATAAGATATATCAGGCTTTGGCTACACAGATAATAAAGATCGATGCATTGTTGTTGTCGGTCTTTAGATTGGATTTTTTTTTTGACAATATGAAAACTGGAGAATATCACCAGACTGATCTTTTAAGGGAATAAGGCTGATGGGTGGTCACAGTCTGGAATGTGAAAAAATAACCAAACGCTGAGACTTTAAATGTGCATCATTTGCAATGTCGTGACAACCTGCAGAAAAATAACTTATTTATCAAGTGACCAAAAGTGACAACATGTAAACTACCAACTAATAATGAGTGAGTCTGCTGTGTGTTAGAGAGGGGAGTCCAAACAGATCAAATGTGCACGTGATGTACGTTGTGTGTGTTTATTCTCCAATGTTTTCAGGCCGATGGTGCGCCTGGCAGACATCTGTATTCCCGCTCAGAGATCCTCGCCACAGATGAATGTTCCCGAGCTGCACACATTTCTCGAGTTGTGCAGACATCCAAACAGGCCGCAAGGGCAGCAGGAGGTGAGGCTGAGTGTTTGTTCATGTAGAGTACATGTTAGTTTATGTGTTTTACTCTCAGCGGGCAGCTGTTTTCATCATATTCGACCTTTACTTCTTTCTCTCGTGTAGCGGAGGAGTTCGACCCAGAAGAAAACCTACATTCTACTGAGGGACAGAGCCATATGTAAGTCTACACCGACATCAATTACATCTGCCACTTGAGTTAGATCATGGAGCCCTTTCTCACTTGGAATGTGTGGTAGAAGAATCTATTTCCTTTCTATAAGATGCTTCAGTCTGACTGACGGGTAATGATGCTTGAGAGAAAAAAAAAAAAGTTTACTCTTCCAGTTTGAGTCACAGGATCCAGCTGTTGGTCTTAATTGTACCTGCAGCATTTTGAATGGCACAGTACAGTAGTGCACATACTGTTCTGTAATTGTAAATTGTTATAGTCTGTTACAGCTATCTAACTCCCATGTAACAGAGGGGCTTTCCCCATTTCCTCCTGACATTTCTGCTTTATGTCATATGTCTGCAACCTCCTCCTCCCACAGTCCTCTCTCCCAGCTCCTTAGATGGCCCCTTAATGTGTGTGTGTGTGAGTGTGTGTTGTTAATGTGTGCTAGTGTGACTGTGAGTGTTTGTGTGTGTCTGGTGATTGTGTGGACGCAGCAGACGAGGGAGGATTCTTCTCTAAATCTCAGTTTGACACCCAGCTCCCAGCAGCCGCTCCCTCTCCTCTCCTCTCCTCTCCTCCACTCCTCGCAGCCCACACTCAGCCTCAGTGTCTTGTTTGTCTTAGGCTGATGGTACAGAAAGTCCTGCAGGAGCTAAAGCTGTACCATGGGTAAGTAAACAGAAGAGGGAGGTCTGCTCGCTCCTGCTGCTGTTCAAACGTAATCTCAGTCCTCGAAACAGCAGCAGCAGCAGCAGCAGCAGCAGCAGCAGAGCAGGCCACATTATGACCAAGGGGAGCACTGCACTGTGTGGGTGTGTGTCTGTGTACACAATGTATTGTTTGTGCATGAATGTTTCTGGCATGCGCCTGTTTGTGCACTGACACAGTATACCATTAAAGCTGGAAAAGGTCTGTGGACATTTTTTTATTTCACAAAATCATCAGTTGACGTCACCTGACACTGAAACCAAGCTGATGGAGGGAAACCCTTCCCTTTAAAGTTTCCCGTTGGCTAAACTACTCTCATACGCTCAGATTGTGTTTCTTTTTGCTGTGATGTCAGTCTCCTATTATGATGTTTCAGCATGTTTAAGACTTTAAAAATCGTCTAATCTATCTATCATATTTGTGCCAGTTCACCATTCAAACTGATTTTCTCTCCATTTAAATCATCTCATTCTGTGTCACAGAGCAAAGCAGAGGAACAACAGATCAGATGTCAAAGAATCAGGAAATGTCACTTGGTACGAGTTCCTCTCTAATGAGTAAGTGCGGTCCTTGTTCTTGTTCTCTTTTCACTGCTGCAGAAATATTCACATTTATGGACAATTTTGGGCAAAAAAATATTCACAGAATTCGGAGATCTTTAATTGGTTGCTATCTGTCCCGTCCCTTCGCATAGAAGTGTTTCATTAGCTATCTATAACAGGTTGTGGTCAAAACCAAACAGGGTAAAACATAAAGTGTCAGCGAAGTGACAGCTGCTCGTGCTTTTGCAGTAATGTGGTTTCCTTTCATGAAAACAACACAGTAAATTTTCTCATCACTGTAAATGTTTCTACTACAAAATTTCCCATTTCCCTTCATTCATTTTATGTATATGTTGTTTTTCAGATTGACTATTAACAAAGAGCATAACAGTTACGATATATGTCGTATAACATAATATAACATAATAAGACCCTGTCCTGTCTTGACCTGAATTAAAAAAAATATATATATAAAGTATAGTTTCAAGATGACCAAATAAACAATTATCAGTAACTACTGGTGATTTTCAAATGTGGGGAAGGATGATGATTAAATTCCTGCAGACAAGACAGCCATGAGACTGTTTCCTTATGTTGGTGCATTCACTGCCTCTTCTACCAGGAATGAGGAAGAGGAGGATCGTACAGAGAAGGTGGAGAAAGGCACCAAGGTGAAGAGGACCCTTAGCTCTTTGAGGAACAGGATGGCTGGCTCCTTCAATAAAGATAAGGTAAACCCAAAGCAAAGACAAATAGTGCTTCGAACTCATTACAATATACCATCCCACCTGCAGTAACATATATGACCTGATAAGGATTACAGTTTTCTTTACGAACTAAGAATCCTGGGACAAAAATGCTGCAACACATTTTAATGTGGAATGCAGAAAAGTGATTTCAGTGACTGCCCTCTGCTGTATTTTCTAATATCATGAAGACCATATCCTGAGGTGCATGTTGCTTCACACACAATGTATAAATATTGCCTGCGATGTGGTTGTGTGTCATACCCAACAATCCAGTGTGTGCCGCAGTGAAAGAGAACACACACACAATTGCGTATAAAAACTCCCCGCTGTGTTTGATTTTCTTGTTCCTCTGCAGGGTAAGAACCGAGAAAAAGAGCAGCAGAAAGAGAAGTGGAAGGAGAAGGAGAGGGAAGCCAAAGAGAAAGTATGCAGCAGCAGCAGGATGAGCAGTGGGCATCATTTGGTGCCAGGCGCTTTTTCCAGCTGTGCCACCTGCTCACTGTGCAGCAAGTCCCTGCAGAAAAAGCATGGCCTGCAGTGCATGAGTGAGTAACGCCACAGCCACAAGTGTACATGCACCCACGCTTGTCCTCAATATGACACAAACACATGTGCACAGGTGTTGCGCTCACAAACAAACTTGGATCTATTCATACCCATGCTGCTACACACACGCACGCTCACTCAACCAGTTATTGGAGCACTCAAGCACAAACACAGCCGCACACACACACAATCGCACGCAGCCATAAAGCGTAATGAATCCTAAACCATTCATGAATTCGTCAGGAAACACCCAAATATTCTCTTTAGGTGGGAGGCTATTTCTGACTGTATGGTATTCCCATACACGTTATCACCTTTGTTGTGTTGAAATTACAGCATTAAATTCACAGAACGTAAAATAGCAGAGAGTCATAATTACATAAAGTGCCATTCGTCATTTTGACTGTAGCTTTCCTTTTGCACTTTTCTGCTAAAAGAAGATGGTGTTCCCTTTCAGTTCTTCATCAAACAGCATTTGTGAAAAACTTCATACAAAAACACTGACGATGTCTGCAATTCCCTCTGTGCTCTTTTTCACGCTGCATCATTACTGTGTATGTCCTGTGTTTCACAACTCAGCTCATTTGTTTAGACGTGTTATCTGATTTGTTATCACCATCCTCTGACAGATGTTTATGTGAATCTACAGCATGTCTTTACTTTGTTGCTCCGGCTTGTAATCCTCTTCACATTTCCAGTATCTTTGGTGTGTTGGATGATGAACTCTCACAATGAGAAAGCAGGCCCTATTTTGTCTGGAGGCAACCACAGCTTTATGTGTCCATTCATGGAGTAGACCTGTACAGAGCATTTCAATGCCCCACGGTTCCTCTTTCTGTTACTGTTGCGCCACTCCTTTGCAGCCAGCAGGTCAGCTGATAAGCCCGTAATACCTAATGAAAGATGTAAAACTGTTTGCTTGGTACAGGCAGCGGTGAGCACAGTGGAAAAACTCTTATCCGAGAGGTCAGGCTGCATGAATATCTGTTGATAGTAACTTACCAACAGAAAAATCAAAAGTTTAAAATAAGAAATGTGTTCAAATCCAGCAGAAATTGGTTGTTGTTTATTATCATTAGTATCATAGCTTTTGTAACAGACGTATGTGGCTGTGCTAAAGTACAATTTAATTACTCATATACAACAGCATAGTTCTAAAGTGTTAACAGAGATAATCGTAAAATAATGTCTAACTGTTTAACTTTAATAACAAATTGTAAATGCAGAATTAGCCAATATGTTAATTAATCGTTTCCATTCGGCTTTGCCGCACAGACTGAAAGAACTATAAGATGTGTGGCAACAAATTTAAATCTTATGAAAGTTCAGCTGTCGTATAGATACTTGCACATAGTGGTGAAGACAGTATTGACATGTTTACACAACTACAAGTAGCAATACCAGAAGTAATTCCAGTGTAAAAAGACACCATTACAAGTGAAAAAAGAAGCTAAATGTTCAAAAAGTAGCAAATGTTCTCAAAATGCCGTATGGCAGAATTTTTCGTGTTATATTTGGCATTAATTTTACAATATACATTGAAAAATATTGCAAATGCATTCATGTGTAAGCAGCATTTTAGCTGTCGAAGCAAAGCTAATTTTAACTAGTCTATATACTTTTAGATTATAGGTAATTTAATCTATCACAATCCATCATATTCTGTAAACTGATTCTATGTTTACATGGTTTCATCTGTAAAATAACTGGAAACTGCAGATGTCAGATAAGTGTAGTAGAAAGTGCAGCAGCTGCCTCAGAAATGTGATCAGTGCAGTTATAAAGTAGCATAAAATGAGATGGAGGACAAAATTTTATTATATTCGAATACATATGCTTAATTAAGCACATGATCTATTGATTTATTTGGCAGAAGAAAAAACATTAGACCCAAACATTGGATCTTTTATTTTTAGTATTTTTTTTCTTTTAAGTGATATTTTTAAACTTCCACAGGGTATTTCCTTTAATCATCCTGATACAGCCAGAATGATATTTAATCACATCTGTGGCCAAATTTGTTGGCATTCCTGTAATTCGGTGACTGTCTTCTCATAAGCCATGTGGTCAGGTGATAAATTTCACATCACCAAATAAAGTTTCCAAGGCGGAACAGTACCATTCTCAATATTAGTACCATTTCATTTTCTCTGAAGTGGATCATTTGCAGGAGTGAAGGAGAAGAGCAGTTAGAAATTCTGTGCTCCCACTTCATTATTTCATGGCTGTAACCTCATAAGTTCCCTGGCTCCTTTTTGTCTGTGGGAGACAAAAGCCATAATATGTACAGAACATTTATAAATCTCACAGTCTGGCAGGAAGGGATATAATGTATGATTGTTTTTAATAGTGTGCTTATTAAACAAAGTTGTTCTGGCATATTTCACAAGACACAGGGCACCACATATCCAGTGTGATTCAGACAGCGCTGCTTCTTTAAGACATTAACCAGAAACCAATAACACATCTATCTCACTCTCTTTCTCTCTGTGGCAACTCTCCATTCATCACCGATAAAGTCACAAATCCTAAATGTTGACACTTGTTGGCATTGTTGGTGCGCACACACACACACACACACACACACACACACACATACACACACATACATGCACAGGCGTGAGAAAACAAGTGAGTGTCCCTTTAATTTGAACCAAGCCCTGTGGGGATTCAGCCGAGAATCAGCCTGTGGAATGCGTCGTTTGTGTGCCAGAGATTGTTCCCAGTGCAGAGTAGGACACAAAACTGGACAAAACCAAGAATGTGGCATACTTGTTGCCACTGATTTTCAATGGCTGAACTGATTTATGTACCTCACGGGCAGACTACACTTCCCTCTGGATGCAGCTGATTCAGATCAACTCGGGTCTTGCTGAACGGTAAGAGGCAGCTACTGTAGCGATGGTCCGAAGCGGGATCAGGTGGATAACTCCCGTTGTTTCGCTCAATGGGAGTTTTCAGACATCCTGGCCGCTAGCTAACCAGCTAAATGCTAATAATAGCCAATCAACCACTTGTTGCGTTTGTCTTCTACAGGCTTGTTGTTTAGTCGGGGTTGAGTCAGTGTGTTAACAAAGTGTAGCCACTTTTAAAGTTCCATAGATATTTATTTTCTCGCAAACTGTTTAAAATAAGCTTAGACTGAACGTATGGCTGACTAGCTATTAGCCACTTAACGCTAGCGTTGTTAGCCTGCCTACAACCGCTTCTATTTGAAAAACAAGGTTAGTTGGGTAAGCTGTTGGCTTTAATTAGCTGAAAGTGATAGTTTGTATAAACGAACACACAGCCACACCAGCGCTGTTTATCCTCGTAACCTAATGTTGCACAACTTCCCTTCAAATTCACTTTATGTGTCCTTTCAGGAGTTTGTCTTTGCTCATGGGTTGCAGACTTTGCACGAAGCTCAACAGGTGATTGCTAACTAAGCTAACGTTAGCTTCCAAGATAACTATTACTACTACTACTATATCTGGAGTCAGCTGTTAAAATGTTTCTGGCATGCTCGGATGTTTCCCCTGATATGGTGGGGAAATCAGAGGTTAGTACAAGTAACAATATTCGCATTTACAGTTAGATGGCGAGGTGCGTCTGTCTGTGTTAAACAGTCTTGTATTTCTGGTGTTCCCACCCCGTTATAGTTGGCTCAGAGACTCAGGCAGCTAACTGGCTCTGTATTATGGGACTCAATGATCCCCGATGTGTTAAATGGTGTTATTCTTCAGTGTCAAATTCTTGTAATTCCTCAGCCGGGCAGGTGATGCCCTCTACCAGTGCTTTATTAGCATCAGGCAATAGGAATGGCCCAGGCTGACGGGGTGACCATTCAGCCTATCCCCTCACTCCTCTACCTCTCTGTTCTGACTGAGTTTTCTCTTTGACTGGATCACATGGTGCTAATTGTGCTTGGCAGGTCTGCCAGTGCATAACAGCCCACTCCACTGACTCTGGGTCTCACCCATCTCACCCTGTTAGCACACCACTTCTCCATGCATCACTGCTTTGCCTTCCAGCATGCCTGACTCTTTGGGCTCTCTGCCTTTGACTAGATTTAAGGTTTTGACTGCCTCCATGTCTCCTCTGAGTGCCTCTTAGTAGATTTTCACCTCTTTAACTGTTGTTATCATCTAATTTTCATGCTACCTATAGGCTTGATTAGTCGGCAGATTAATCATCAGAGGGGTAATGATTTGAAGGGGTAATAAATAGATAGATGATATCCCTCTACCTCCCCCTTTGAGTATTGTCTGTATGTTACTGGTCTTAAATAGTAATCATGACCCTTCTTTTTGGGTGAGAAATGTGACAGAGATGTTTCACTTCACTGAGTAAACAGTTCCCTGAGCCCCAGTTCCTCCTGTTTCATGAGATGATGTCATAGTTTGGCTGGTTGCTTCAGTTTGCCCAAAGTGTTGATGTTTTTGTCCCTGTTGTTTCATAGAATTAAGTAACCTCTTGAACTCATATGCAAACATTAACACACAGGAAGCAAGTGATGTCAGTTTTTGGCTTCTGTGTAATCAAGTAATACCTTTTTAAAAATGGCTGTTGTGGCTTCTTTTCCTCCAGGTTGGACTTGAAACCCATTTGTGGTAGTAGGGTTTTTCTCTGAACTACAGAGGGTTATATGGAGCACAAGTGGTTTTACTGTGGTTATTTCTTGTATTTGAGAATAGTGAAAGGAAACTACGAGAAATATTAATATGACATATTGCATTTATCTCAAAATGGAGGCACTGCACCATCTAAAGTGACTGTATGGGCTTAGTTTATAAGCAGAATAGACATGCAGTTTTACACTCCTCATACACTTAAACTGAACATGCTGGCATATGTGAGGAGTTGACGACCACATTACTTAAAATGAGATGCTGCGGCTCATTGAAAAAGCAGCACACTTGCAGTAGCCTACATGATTTTGAACGTATAATTCAGTCGGAGGTAGGAATGTTTACTTTAAAGGACTTCACCCTGTTGTTTTGTATGTTTTAGCATGTTACACATAATGTATATAGATAATAAATAACAATTTAGGATCGAAATGATATGCGTCTATGTTTGTGTATAGACAGATTGATACGTTTTTTTAGAGGATGCTCAAAAAAAATTACAACAACATGTAAAGAATCATTTGATTTTTTTTTTATCAAAAGGTTGCTGTTTAGCTGCTTTTGTGAAGGTGCAAATGTTTGGGGGAGTTTTACTGTTCAATGCAGGTGTCCAACATAAAATTAGCAAAAATACAGTTTATAAAATCCGTGATTAATTGCTTGTCTCAAGCACACTATGTGTCTGCAATTTTACATCTTCTTATTAAATTAAATCAAAACCAGCATCTAAAAACCTATTGTTCATCACTAATGTAAAATATACACAGTTAGTGTACTTACCTACAATTTCACACACCCTGTTTTGAATTTGACAGTGTTTGTAGACTGTATGTCAAAAACAACTTTTAAGTGTCCTATCGTGTGAGGAAACGTTTCCCTCGAAGAATCCACCCATTGCTATCTGGCGCTCCCATAAGATAACATGGAGCATTACATTCTTTCTGTAGAGTTTGAGTAGTAGCACGTGATTTTAAAGTTGTTTGTTGTATTTTATTTTCACCTGTCTGTTGATTTGTTTGTTGGCTTCTTTTTTTTTGGCTGCCTAGGACAAGCATCAGAAAGATATCATTCTGTCATTCTGGTGATCACAGTGCTGACCTAGACATCATTTCTAGTTCACTGATTGACTCACTGAAGTGTGTGCTGCTGTACACCACAAGTTTTCTCTTGTGTGATTAGGGTAGTTACCAGTCAGCAGATGTTGGGTGTGGTGGTGGTTTTTGACGGGGGCTGAGTGTCCCGTGGATCAGCTGCAAACCACAGTGCAGTTGTCACGACTGAATGACTGGAACTTTATCACACAGCTCAAGAGTGGCAGAGCTCTTTGACACTCACCCATGTGGTCCACCTGATGACATTAATCACAGTGACAGTATGCGCTGGCCTGACGTCAGAACTGATCTGTCAATTGTGACTTTTTTCTAATGAAGCATTTCTTTATTTTCACCGTAGGTATCACACATGGTGCTATTACCAAACATCGGGGTGGTCTGTAGCTGTTAATGCTGATAAGCTCTCTGATATCAGTAAACAGAAATACACAGTGTTCTTTCTTATCTTGAGAGATTTTTTCTTTTAGTTTCGTTGAGCAAAAATTCTTTTGAACACTTTTTGAACATAATTACCTCAACTGCATATTCCTAAACAGAAATGGCTTACTCTTGGATTCTTCAGTGATGATTTGAAGTGATATTGTTATAATGACATTGCTTTTTACTCCGTCTAGATCTGCTTATCCATCAGGTCCTCTTATCTCTTCCTGTTCTTAGCAATACTTTTCCCAGCCTTACCCGGTCAGTGTGTTCAGGCTTTGTTGAAGATGGTAAGACGATGTATTACTGTCCTGGTTGACTTGATTAGACATTGACGGTATGTTGTGCTTGATGTCTTTTGTCTGGAAGAGCCAGGCTGGCAGAGATATGTGTTATTTTGCGCGTTAGTTGAAGCGAGGTGGAAAATTATCTGCTACTGCTGATGAGTTTGTTGACTTACTGACTTCAGTGCCCATTTCTTCCTCTAAAGGAAAAAAAAATTTTCTCTGGTTTCAAAACTGAGTGTAATCCAAAGAGGACCGTCTGATCTGAAGCAATAACATCTAAAAAAGTTGTTTGTATTAGATGTTTTGTGCTATTGGGCAAATGTTGCACTGCTCTGCATCTGCGTTACTTCAGTACTGCTGGACCCAATTCAAAGAGGGACACAGCACTGCTGGTGAAGATTATTCAGAAGCCACTTTCTGTTTTCTTTTCCTTCAGCTTAGCCAGCAATTGTTCATTTATTACCAGAGAGAAGGAGGCAGAGGGGGGTAGGCTACAGATTGTGAATGAAGTGGAAATAATAGATTGGTTAGTACTAGATCTTAAAAGTAAAAGGGCAAAATATGATAGATTATGCTAATACTCTGCAATATAAATGACTCTTATAATATGTGTATCTATTCTTTATGTCCTCCTCAATCACTGCACACACAAATTATCATTTCTCCTAATGTTTCATGCTTTTCCTGTACAGGAAAGAGTGTTTTTGTCATTGTGTTCATTGTGCCAGTACACAAAAGGGAAATAAGCAATAGAAGCCTTTATAGTAGGCTGTACAGCAGTTAGTGGAATTTGCTAGCATGGGTTGTGTTTACTCTGTGTTGTTAACATAAGCAGAGCCTTTGTCAACAAGATTCAAACAATCACAAAAGTGCCTATTGGCCCATGTAATATGGTAAATGTAGAGGGGGCAGTTTGGGTTTAAGTTGCTTTTAATACTGCCACGTTCACTTTGTTCACTTGTCTTAAATAGTAGTTGCCAGTCAAATTTGAGTTTTTTATTTATTAATTCATTAATTTTTAACTTGGATCACTAATCATTCCAAAAAAATATAATGATAAATCTGAAGTAGTAAAATGCAAGTTTGAGGGGAACAAAATGAAGTGGTAAAATAAAAATAATGAAAACATTGAGACCCTTGTTATCTTAAAATTATATCTGAGTAGTAGTAGTAGTATCATAAACACAATAAGACACACAAAATTAATTTCTTTTTTTTTTTTTTTGGCCCCTGTATTTTCCAGTATAGACCCACGTAATGCAGTCAGCTGGCCTGTTGTCATTAATCACTACATTCAGTCAATTTGTTAAACTCATCCACCCTGCTCCCACTGCTCAGCCTCTCTTTACAGAGAAGCAGCTCTCATTTTTAGTGTGTATATGCATTTCTGCACTTTTGCACATCTGTATATGTTTTGCATTGAAGGCCACGTGTTTTACCTGGCTGGGTTGGGATCAGACTTTGCATGGTCATGACTTAATTTGCTTGGCCAGCCTAGTCCCTTGAAATAGGCTTCTGATCTTTACCTTATACAGTATGTAACCAGGCTGAAAGATTGAACTGTTTTGTTTTAGCAATGCTTTGTCTTTCCAGTAATTGAGTAGAACACGGAGGAAAGAACTTACTGCTCTCAGTGTGTTTTTCCAAAACATCTCTGATTTGTATCTGTGTTAATCAGCGGAGACACAATCAGCCACTCCATCTACACCTGACAACAAAAGCTTTGTTTTCCATACAGGAAGAGAAGTGAACAAAAAGTGAAATGTATTACTGAGAAAAAGGCAGTTCCTGACCTGCCTTACAGTGAGAGTCTGTATCATGTACTTATTAAGCCAGACAGAAGCCATAGAGTTACTGCTGCAGCAGCCCCATGAGGTCACTTTGTAAGAATACTGTGCCTCCAGGCTTTTGTTCCAGTGTTTTGTTTGAATCACAGCCCTCTACTTTGAACACCGCCTTCGGCAGTGGTTGGGTTGGTTTTGAAACCTCCGACTTGGTTTACTGTTTCATTGTTCCCATCCATATTCAATCCAAAAGTCACCACTGTAGCCTCTGTATACTGTACAATCTGTATACTGTATACAACTGGCCTAGCAAGACTAATGCAACACTGATCCTCTGTTCCTGTCCTGCTGTTTTTCAGATTGTGCCGTGAACGTTCACAAGAACTGTAAGTCTCTGCTGGGTGACTGCACCAGCAGCAAGAATAAGGTAAACACTCCACTGGGGCATAGAAAAACAAGGACTAAGACAACAGGAAAGTCGTCCTACTACCTTCCACTGTGCTCTACTATTTAGCATATAGTGACTAGTTATATGCATGTGTATGTGGTCAGACACTGGATCAGTGGCACGAAATGAACTCAGGATAAAGAAAAATAAGATTAATAGAAATGGTAGTTAAAAAAAAAAAAAAAAAAAAGCCAGTATTTGTGTGACAGTCAGATTTAAGTTTCTTTGTCGTAGTGTTTTGGCAGTCTTGCTGTAGATTCCTGGTTGAATCTGAATTATAGTTGTATAATTTATAGGTTAAATTTAACCCTTTGATCCTTGTAGCACCACTGCAACACTAAATGAGTGTTGGGACTGTGCTAGATTGTAAAATCCATATTTGAAGAGCTTTCTGAGCTTTTCTTCTACTTCATCCATCAGTCTGATTTCTCCACATATTCCTTGCTTTATGCTCCTTTGTAAAATTATTGAGGAGGTGCATATTAACCGTGGTTGAACCTTCTATCTAGCATCAGGTGTATATGTAGCTACAGAGAAGCATAATTCCACATTTGGCAGAGAGGTTTTTATGCTCTTTCAAGCCTGGGGTTTTAAGATGACTCCGCTGAAGATGACATGCCTCTGTCCACTCTTGAATATGAGTCTGCCTGAGATGTACTTTGCTTGTCATGCAAAGTCCTTGTCCACGAGAGCAGTCTCGTCCTGTAAAGAAACTACAGTGAGTGTGCAAATTTTTAGGCATTTTGTAATCTGTCACTCAGCTGATAAAAGCCTGAGATAAAGGCCTTGAAATGATGCTGTCTTTATTTTCTCCACACAGAGAGATTTTCTACCGAAGACCAGCTCATCAGGATCTCCTAACCTTGGTAAGTAGAACATGCATGTGCGGACGTGCTATAGTAGGGGGAATGCATTGATGGAAAAGAAGGCAGCTTTAGTCCCCTTGTGTCAAATTAAAGAGAGCTGATTGCCTCTCGGGTGGTTTGCAGAGGATTAAAAAGATGAGGATGGACCCTATGGATCCTATTTCTTCAGTCTGCAAATCTTTTTTTCTTTTTTTTTTTACAGTATGTGTGTGTGTTGTGTATATGGGTGTGTGGGTGTTAATAGTATGTGTGTCTGCCTACACACTGAGCGTAGAGGGGGAGATTGGCCTCCAACAGGCTGTAGGCAAAGGTGATGATTAGCTTTTGTTAAGAACAGTCAGGCGATTTACTTCTGGTTCAGTTATTGTGCGAATTCGGGATAGATTTAGTAATGTTTTATGTACAATCTATACACAGAAGTTGAATTTATATAAATATACAAAGAACAAAGGGAAGCAAAACAAAGTCAGATCTTTACAATTTGTTAATTTGAAAGAATATCTGTCAGTTTCTTTGTTACAGTAAAAGGTTAGATTAGAGGTAATTTCACTCATTTCAGTCTCAGAATAGATGTCTTGATTCATTATCATGAATTGGTCCATACCAGGAAATTTCAGGTAGTTCTAATTGTAACATTCAGCAGGTCCTGTTGCATGTGATTGACCCCACAGGAGACATGAGCAGCTGCAGAGGCAGCAACAGCTTAAGTTAATCTCCTGTCCTGTAGTTGTTATTCTCTTTTGAACAGCTGGAGTCCTGTCAGCCACACCTGATTTCTCCTCAAGCCCTGCTCTGGCCAATCAGTAGCTTGTGCAGGGGGTCGGGAAGAAAAGGAGCGGAGACAGGAATTGAGGAAAAGTCCGTCATCAGAAAGTGCGAGAAACATAAAAGGGTGTGCTTCTTTCCAGAAGCTTCTACAAGAGATAAACGATCGGGGCGTTGCGTATAAAACCAGGCTACGCGCTGTTCTCTGCTACTGATGCTGTGGCAGAGATACTGTGGAGTTTGGATTATCAAACATCTCCTTTTGCTACTCCTTTTAATTTGAGACATTCGCAATGGAGCTAGCAGTTACCGAAGGCACTATCCAAACCACGAGGGCCTCCAAAGCGTGCTCCAGAATGGCTAAATCATCCAACTCCTCCTCCCCACCTTCCTCCACCTCATTGTGGAGTCTGTCTGGACGTGTGGGGATGCGAGTGTTGATGCACCACGACCTGATCACCTGCCGATTCTTCCGATCCCTTCCTCGATCTTGGCTGAAAAAATACAGGGTTCGACAGGGGCAGGAATCAAACAAGCACCCACTGGCCTCCTTGTCGTCTTCTCCTCTCCGCTGGTCATCCTCTCCTTTCTCTCTCCCTTCTCCTAGTTTCTCCTTATGTTCCCCCTCCGTCCCCTCTCATTCCCTCAGTTCATCCGTCTCTCATCTTTCCTCCCCAGCGCTAAAAGACCGGGACAGAGAGCGGGATCAGGCAGGCCTTGCCTCATCACAGACCCTGGATGGCCACCCAAGTTTTCTCAGCACCCCAGGCATGACCGTTAGTCAGTGGGGACCTAACACTCAGCTGACTGCCGCCCATACCACCTACTCCTCTGCATCCCCTGCCTCCAGCCTTGGCCACAGCCTCCATCACCACAACAGCTCAGGGTGAGTATCTCTGCCCTGCAAGTCACTTTTCTTGCACATAAGAGTTTTGTTTTTGTTTTTTTTTTGTTGTTTTTTTTTAATCTAGTTTACTTTTAAAAAGATTGCTCCTGAATGACAGGCTTCCTTTTGACTGGGAGTTGAAAAGTTAAATCTTTCTCTCAAATCTATAATGCTGTAGATGTTTGCAGGATCTGCTGTATATTGTATGTTAACGCTGAATATTTATAGATTCTTCTCTTTGCTGCTCAAATACTATTTTCTCTATGTCATCCTGAGATGTGTATTTATAGTTGACATATCAAGGCACACTTTTTTTTCTAATAATACAGCCTTTTGAAACTGAAAGTAGACAATTCTCAGAGGTGGACTACTTTTACACTGCATCACTAAGAAAAGTGGGAGTGTGAGAGAGAGAGAGAGAGAGAGAGAGAATCAGGAAAGGTGTTAACAAGACCAGAAAAAGAGGGAGCGACAGCCGGGCAACAGTATGGAGGAAAGAAGGAAGGAAGGAAAGAAAAATGTAGCTACCTGGGTTTTGCTTCTGTGTGTCATTCTATGTGGAACTGTATATATGTGTGTTGGGTCTTAAGTATATTTAGGCTACCACTAGCCAGAGGGTTTGAGTGGTATCAGTGTCAGCATGTATGCCACCTTGGACCTGTGGTTGTCATCCCTCAGATCCCTCCCTGGGGAGATGGATGAGACAGATGCTCTCCGCTCCAAACGCTGCAATGAAGACGCCATTTCCCTCGCTCCCTCCACCACCGAGTCTATCATCGTAGAAGGTGAGTTGACTGAGGTGGGGATTGAATTTCAACAGTTCCACTCATGGCTGAAATGATTTACTCTGAAGGAGATTGTTATGGTGGTAACACTGTTCTTTATAACTACGTTTTCAGCCTGTTTAGCCTGTTCTAAGATCTGTGTGTTTGTCTTCAGGGAGTTTTCCTAAATCCAGGGAGGTGAGTGTATGGAGTGTGTTTCGTGGAGTCAGGAGTGACCTCACCCTGTCTCATTAAGCTGGAGTGTGTGGGAGAGACAGACCGGCTAACTGCGTACTAGTGTTCAATCTTTTTAATTTTTTTTACCCATAGGTAGCATGTCTCAGGATTTACTGTTTTAAGGGACACACCCATACCATGAACGAGCTATGCAAGTGCAGGGTTGGCATAGTCCCTCACATCTTTTTTTAAGCTTAATCACAATCCTTATTAATGTGAGGTTCAAGAGTTATCACATTTACAATGCATTGTTGACATCAAAACATGATCAAAATTGTTGGGAAAAGCCTCGTATTTCAGATTTTAAAAAAAAATTGGTTCGACAAATTCATTTGTGGAGTTGAGATTGTGTGGGTCATATTGCCTTGTCACTATCTCCATATATTATTTTAAGCGCTGCCAAAACACAAACAGACGAGACATGAAGTCATCAGTGAGCTATTCTTAAACTTGGAGGCTTCGCAGAAAGTATTTGGAAACCTTTTGTAAGGGAATCATCTTTTGAAAGTCATTGTTCATGATTTATGAATTGAGTCTCGAGTTACCTGCTGTCCTAGATCTGCTCTTTTTGTGTCAACATCACTTTTCGACAGTCTGAAAGTGGGTGCCTCCTTAATGATGAAGAGGCCGACCGTCAGCCGCACAATCCAGGGTCAGGCCCACATGTCAGAAGTTCCTCCATCCTGCCTAGCTGACGTGGAGCCAGACTATAATTCTTGACATAGACTGGATTGTTTCAGGGATGCTTATGTTGACTTCTGACGTTGCTGTGAAAACACTGATCTAAACACGGGCCCCCAACATTGTGCTGTTTCCTGCCATATCGGGATTATAACACTGTAATGGGTCATAGTTTTCGATGTCTCTGCCCCTCTCTTCAGATGCTCACTATACAGCAGTGCGGGCTGATCTGGAGTCTGATGCCCAGGACCTGGAGGCGGAGTCATGGAGTTTGGCAGTTGACCAGCAGTATGTTAAGAGGCACTCTAAAGAAATGGTGAAGAGACAGGATGTGATATATGGTGAGCGTGATTGTTTTGGGTGTGTTCAAACATATTGCTGTTCAATGAATTCATTCATTATTATTCAACTATTCAATCAATGAGCTCATTGGTTGGTTAGGGTTGGTGTGAACTGGGATTTTGGCAGCAGTACTGCACACAATGTCAGGGAAATAATCAAAAATGATGAAGTAAAATTTAGCATTTTGCAATTCTGTAACATTGTTGGACTCCCAATACAAAGTTGAAAAAATGTATCGAAATCAAAGCAGCAGAGCCAGAGATATGGTCTTTTGTATTCCGTTCATCATTCTTTCTTCTCAAAATATGGCAGAACATAAACATAAAACTTAATGTCGTTGTACAGAGCTGATGCAGACGGAGATGCACCATGTGCGAACACTGAAGATAATGCTTCGTGTCTACGTCCGAGAGCTGAAGGAGAACCTCCAGATGGACTCGGGCAGGCTGGACTGTCTGTTCCCCCGCTTGGAAAACCTCCTCGATCTTCACACACATTTCCTGTCTTGTCTCAAAGAGCGGCGACGAGAAAACCTCATCTCACCTAGCGACAGGAACTACACCATCAACAGAGTGGCAGATATTCTGATCACACAGGTAGGTGATTTGTAGCGTCTCTGGCAAGAACACACTTGCTTACAAATGCCCAGCGTCGATTTCTTCAAACACATCACATGATAGTTACACATTCTCAATATGGTACACAAGTTATATATAAACAGCATAATACATCGGCCATGGTGCAGTGTGGGCCAGCACACAAACACAGACTGCCAAAACAGAACCATGAGCCGCCTAGGTGACAGAGATGACAGTTTCTTTTGTTCCCCAGTTCTCAGGTGAAATCGGAGAGAGGATGAAGGAAAGCTATGGAGATTTCTGCAGTCACCACACTGAGGCTGTCAGCTACTACAAAGAACAGCTGCAAAACAATAAAAAGTTCCACAACATCATACGGGTAAGACACACTATCATATGCTGATTTTTGATGTCAGATTTAATCCACACTACCTCTCCAGTGTAGTATATTAAATTCACTTGCAATCTGATACATGTTAAATTAAATCATGCTCTTTCTCATCTCAGAAAATCAACAACCTGTCCATTGTGCGGAGGTTAGGAGTGACCGAGTGTATTCTGTTGGTGACGCAGCGCATTACCAAGTACCCTGTACTAGTGGAGCGTATTCTGCACAACACTGAAGGTCTTTCTGCTAATTAGATTACAATCACTGATGAAGAGGGTGCACCAATGCATTTAGTGAGGAATAACCTCAGTCATTATAGTTTAAATTTGACTTAATCTGTAAAATATTTTTTCTGTCTCTAGCGGGAACAGAGGAGCATGAGGATCTGACTCGAGCTCTGGGTCTGATTAAGGACACCATCATTAAGGTGGACACGCTGGTTAATCTCTATGAGAAGATGTCCCGACTCAGAGACATATACAACAAGGTGGAGCTCAAGGCACTGGGAAAAATCAAAGATGGCCGAGTGTTTCGCAGGGAGGACCTGGCACCAAGCAGGAGATGGCTGCTTCATGAGGGCACAGTCAACTGGAAAGCTGCATCTGGCAGACTCAAAGGTATGATGAGGCATGATTAAACAAAATACTCACTGACCTACTATACAGAAGTGTGAATATACTGTATATGCTGTTCTATTAAAAAGAAATCAATAATGTGTCATGCTGGTCCTTTGCAAGGTTGTTGTGAACTTAGTTAACATTAAAAAGGATACTCACACATTTAAAATGTGTCTAGTCTGATATCATCTGGCTTTTTCCAGCTTGCAGGCTGAAGCCAGAAACTGTCATCTCTAATTTTTGCTTTTCCAGATATTCTTGCAGTTCTTCTGTCAGATGTGTTGCTCTTGTTACAAGAGAAGGACCAGAGATATGTATTTGCCACTGTGGTAAGTGATTTACCTTTGATCATTCTGTCAGTATAACAAAAATGGCATTTGCTTTTAAGAGGAATACATAAATAATGCACAGTGAAAAGAGCGGGAACAGAATTTTTTACCTTCAGAATCCTATGCATGATCTGTAATGCTCATCTGTGAATGTCATTTATCAGTTTTTATTAAGTACTAGTAACCAGTAAGGTCAGTAATCCCTTCTTCTTCTTTTTTTGATCTACTCAGGATAGCAAGCCGTCAGTGATCTCTCTTCAGAAGCTGATAGTCAGGGAAGTGGCCCATGAGGAGAAAGCCATGTTTCTTATCTGTGCCTCCTCCAATGAGCCAGAGATGTACGAGATCCACACCACCTCCAAGGAGGAGCGAAACACTTGGATGACACAAATACGGCAAGCTGTCGAGAGGTAGCTGCAGTTACACAGAGAGAAAACTCACACAAAATCTCTACGCTGGTCCAAAATTGTGGAAAATTATGATAATTATTTACCCATTGTGAAAAGTGTAGACAAAATGTTATTCTAATATATGTCAATCCACAGTTGACCCAGATGAAACAGAATGTATAGGAGCGTTACTCAGTTTGCTTCCTTTGTCTTTCTACCTGCCCACCTGTACCGGGTTCTGTCCTCTCCCACTCTCAGCTGTCCTCATACTGAAGAGAGGCTGTTCAGTGAGGAGGAAGAGGCTCGAGCTTCCAGGTTCAAAGAGTTTCAAGGTAACCAGATCAGAAGCATTGACAGACTACACACATTGCCCTTGAAAATTAGCTATACCAGACCACTAGGGGATGCTCATGTATCATGTTAACATTAAAATTGTTGAAGTTGCTTTGATTTTCTTTACAGCTCTTCAAACTGTTTAAGGATTGAAATTATTTTTTTAAACCAGCCAATGCAGTTAAAATAAAAAAACTGAAATATATAAGTATCAGTTTGTATGGATGGATATTCATGTATGGATGTTTCAACAACAGAATTGTGACAAACTGTTAACCTTGATTCATTTTATAAAGTCTGGGTCTTTTCTTGTTCCATTTCACGTTTTCCATTGTAGAGCGGCTGAGTCAGAAGGACACAGTAATTGTGCAAGCTCTTACTGAGAAGCTGCAGCTGTTTGCAGACATGGCAGAGTCTTTGGCAGGTCTAGAGGACACAGCTTCACGTTCTAGACTTCTGCTTCGAGGAGACGCCTCAGACCTCCAGCAGGGGGAGACCCTGCTCAAAGGAGCTATCACTGAGGGTAGGACAAGGCTGCATGATGTACAGTATATCTGCTTTAGACACAGAGGCATGGCACCTTGGCATTGAGTGAATTTTACACACAATTTGTCAACTTTATGTTCATGTAGTGCTCGCTGCAGCTTTGTAATAAATAAGTGGATTGTAGCATTGTTGCATTTGCTTCTGTTCCCCTAAACTTCTCTCTCTCTGTCCAGCTTTCAACCTTAACTTTTATCTCTTTCACTTCAGTGGAGAACCTCCAGAACCTGCTGCAGTCCGGAGTGAGGGAGGAGGCTCCAGCCTCTCGACTGGAGGAAGGAAGCGGCTCTGGGGCCTTGCCCAGACGAGCGGATACTTTTGGGGGCTATGACAGCAGCCCCACCATCCTTAGTAAGAGTGAGTGCAGCACACTCCATACCCTGAGGAAGTCCACCAGCTAATGGATTTTGCAGTTGTATTTCAGAGGCATTCATAAGATTGAAATTATGAATAATAAATTTGACAATTTCTTCAAAGGCTGTTGATTCCTGGAATTGGTTTTATTGGTTTAATTCATGTGTATGGTTTTCTAATAACTAATTTCTTGGCAACAAAGCCAGCATGAGAAACTAAAAAAGAAAAATATTTCAAGACAGTTACAGTTGGTCACAGTTTTACATGTATATGTGTGTGGTTTCCGTGCAATGTTTGTAATTGTGAATATTTCTGTGTATCATTTTTGTGTGTGTGTGTTTGTCACTCTCTGTTTCTGTGTGTGTTGGTGTTGATGTGTCGGTGCCAGATGGCAGTGTGAGGAAGAACTCTTCTGGCGAGTCCAGAAACAGAGACAGAAGCCAGAGAGCAAGCTCCGACCCTCAGCTCAAAGACCTCTGTGGCAGCCACACCCTGGAGCAGACGGTAAGGGCTCAACATACACTGACTGGGATGAGTCACAGTGTTATTTCCTGTAAATAGTAAACAGACTAAGTCATCTGGAAAGTTTCCATGTCCTGATGTTTACTGTAACCCTGTTATCACAGGTCATGTCATTTGTTTATAAATGTATAAAGCCTTGATAAAGCATTATACTCTTAACATTGATTTACTCCACTAAATCCTGGCGCTTGATCAGGCAGACAAAATAGACAAAATATAATGACATGCTGATGACAATGAGCGGTGTGTGAAAATCAAAGCCAGTTTTACTCATAACATACATAAAACATGATAAATAATGACATTATTTGCCAAACATAATAGTAAATGTTGTATTTATTCCACTACCTTGGCTATGAACAATAGCTCAATAGAACCTTTTTAGGATTTTGATGTGTAGAATTGACAGAAATGAAGAAAACTTTTCATATATTACCATAACAAATTTCATATGTTCTAAATGTTTTCAGCATCTACTATCTGTAGCAGTACAGCACAGTACTCACAGTGTGTTTGTGATGTTATATCATTAGTATGACTTTCTGTGTGTCTGACTGCTCAGGTTGATGAGAGCTCCTGCTCTCCTGCCAGATGGAACCGCATCTGGTCCAACTCCTTCCCTGAGGCTGAGGTAAACTCTCCATTTCTGATCTGTCACTTTGTTTTACACAAAAACCGCAGGATTTGATCTTCACAGTCATGACTGTTGAACTGAAAAGATGTACCCATGAATAGTTTACTAATCCAGTGAAATCTTGTATTGTTTTGGAAATGCTGGTGATTATTTGATTATGATAACTTCGTCTGTGTCTCTGGTCCAGTTCTTTGACAGAGTGGTGATGCTCTCCCAAAGGCTCTATAGTCTGCAGGTAAAACAGACCTCTCAACTGTTTATGCTGTATCTGAAATTTTCAACAAATAAATAAATTTAATTGATTATTTGGGGTTTGTAACTTGATAACTTTCATAACAAACAATTCAATTCACTTTCTGTTTCACTGTAATAGAAAATAAATAATTGTCTCAGGACAATATTAATATATGTTCCCTAATTACCAAATGTTATTTTTCTCCTCTCCCTGCCTCTGCCCCAGGCCATCATATCACAGCAGGACAGTTACATCGAGCTGCAGCGGGCCTCTTTGACAGAGCGGGCATCCCTGCCCGGGCGCCACCGAGGGAACGTGCTCCTGGAGCAGGAGAAGCAGCGGACTCTGGCCCTGCAGAGAGAAGAGCTGGCCAGCTTCCACAAGCTGCAGTCTCAGCACCGGCAGGAGCAGCAGCGCTGGGAGAAGGAGAGGGAGAGGCACCGCCAGCAAGTCGAGGCCACTGAGGCCAGGCTCCGACAAAGGGAGGAGGAGTGCAAGCGGCTGGAGGTGAAATGCACTTGCTGCTCTGTCCTCTACCTGAATTTCTGGCTCCATCGCTCTGCGCCTGATTTTGCTCATTAGATGTAAATATTTAACAGAAACTTTCCAACATTGCTTGTTGTTGTTTTGGTGCAGGAACATCTGGCAAAAGAAAAGGAGGAGCTAGACAGGCAGAGGGAGACGTACCAGCAGGACCTGGAGAGACTGAGAGAGTCCACCAGAGCTGTGGAGAAAGAAAAGGAACGCCTGGAACACCAGAAGAAGATCAAGAGGAAGACCATTGAGGTGGGGAACCTGTGGTGGAGAGGGAGTCAAATAATGGTGAAACAAAATACTGTATCATCATACAGTAAAAGACTATCAAGCTAACTGTTGCTAGTGAAAACAACATTTAACATTTCTGTTCACACTATATTGGGCATCTGCATACACAGATGTGTTCACACGTTTGTCAACAAACAGTCACCACATTAGCATTTGGTGAAATTTACGCCTTGTGAACCCTCATAGCCAAAGACAGGTGTGGAAACATGTAAATGAAGTTTAAGCTAACAAATTATATATTTGTTCAGTTTATGATACAATGTGATTTATTTCAGATACACTTCATATCATAACTTCAAGGTATTTTTCACAGTTTTATTGATTGATGACTAATTGTATACACATTTTGATTAGTCTATTTTATAGGTAACTCTGATTATAAAAATGCTTTTGAAAAATATGAAACTCTAAATTGAAGGTCGTTAGATTGGTTTAATGGCCCTTTTGAAGTCGTGTGTGAGAAGGAAAGAAATGAGGACAAGGGCGAGCTGCTTTAGAGGAAGAGGTAATACCGGGAGCAGTTTCCTGTCCCTCGTGCTTTCTCTTTGGCCATTTTGTGTTCTTGTTTTTTTTCTTCCAAACCTACGTACCTTGTCTCTCTTCTGTTTTATATTATTACATGTTTTGATACATCAGCTGCAACGATTGTGTGACATTTGATTTCATAGTCAAGTGTTTTATTTCATTTTAAAGTCACACAAGATTGTTTGCATTTACAGTGTTTCCATTCTTCTTTATTTTCAGCTGAAACATGTCACATCTTGCCTTTCTGTTGTCTTTGGCTGGACCGCAACAGCGGGGCAGCCGTGAGTGTGTGACTGACTGAGTCTTAGACTTGAGTGATCATATTTCCCCCATTGATCAGCCGAATGCCACGTGACTGAGTTGGCATTGCTCTTTTTTTATGAATTAATTGGTGCAAAAGTGGGTGTTTACAGCCTGCAATGTTGCCAACTCAGCACATTTGTTGCTAGATTTAGAGACTTTTTTAAAAAAGGGCAGAATACAAATAGGATGCCATGACATCAGTTGTTTACAGCGGTTCCACGTCTTCAATTTTGGTTTTGACCTGGTCTCCTTAATCTCCTTTTCAAGTTATATATTTCCCTCCTAACATCAGTTTTCCTGTCTCATCACACATACACATGACATCGCAAATTGTTGCTTCTTAAATAATGAGTGTAATTCGCATAACATGACCACTGTGGTGCAGGAGAAACATGAATGTGCTGCTTAAGGAATATTTAGTTCCTGAGTTCAGCCTCTTACTGGTGGAAAAGAAGCACTGGTTTCAGCTCCCACAACCTGTGTTATAGATGAGCGTAATGACAAACAGACATACAACTGAATACATGTCTAACCACTCAACCACACAATCCATCTACGCAGAGAGTGGTCTTTCTCTTCACCTCTTTTTCTCTGCTCTCCTTCCTGTGTTTCCTCACTTATATCCCTCTTCTCTATCTCTCCATGCACTACAATGCGAGCCATTGTTTGTGAGTTTCATGGGAGAGGAACTTTGAGAAAGATCCACTGACTGTAATTTCACGCCTGGTGCTAACAGATCTGTCATGGAGCTTCAGTGAAGTTACTTAATATCAGCCTTTAGTGTTTTTAGAGGCCTGTATGACTGTTGCAGTTTGGTTGATTGTCATGAGGCAACTGTAGTACTAGACATTTTATCTTGACAGATTTTATCTTCTTAACAAACCAAGATACAGAATGATATGACAGTTTTGAAATCCATATCAAGATTTACACACTCAGTTGGCAGTTTATTAGGTACACATGACTAAAACTAATGCAGTCTAATACAACAGTCCTGCAACAAAAAACAGACTTTGTCTAATGCAGCAATTAATATTAAAGAATTTTTCAGGATTTTATCATACTTTCACAAATAGTACTGCAAAACTACCCTGCAATATTTAGACATTGTTTTAAGACAAAATGACACACTCCATAAACCTTACACACAGTGTGCTTCTTTATAGTGGACAGTCATCAGGTCACCTGATGTCACATCACAATTGTTTATTTGGCTTGCTCCCTCCACTCTGCAGCTATCCGTGTGGTGTTTCACATGATTCTCCTGTGTGGTGTACATTAGTAACTGATGGCTGATTTAGTAATTAAAAAAAAAAAAGATATTTCAGATTAAAATGGTGGGTAAATTTTAAAACCAGTAATCTGGTATTGATAATAGTGGGAGAGGATCATTAACATTACTTAGGGCTGTTGTAGCTGAGTCACACACATGATCATGTAAAACACACCTAATGATGGCATTGTTCACGCTGACTAATGCTGTCATGTATAAGAAAGGAAAAATTACCGGCTCAATGAGTCAGTGGCCCTGGTCATTAACATGCGTCTCGGGTGATCTGATCACGAGTGGACAGCTCCAAGTACAGGTGTGAATGCATCCAAGACACATTAAGGACGCATTTGAGATCTGATCACTCAGACAACATTCGGAGGTGGTCTGGACCGAATGTGGCCACATTCCCATAAAGATGTGTTTTTCTGATTGAGTCTGTCTCCAGTGATGTCTTTAGTCCCTCTCTGCTGTCTGGCATTCCTACCCGGTTGACGCCTGACAAGTATCTCTGATTGGCCAGTGCATCTTTGTCCTGCATACCAAGCTGAGTAGCTGACGGATGACACAACGCTGTCCACTCAAGTCCTGACATGTCCCAAAAAAAGCTACAGTGCTTTTTTTTTGCAAATGCATTTCCCCCTTTTTTATTCTTATCTGTTTACAGTAACTTTACTCACAAAATTCTCAGACATCTGGCTGCCTATCTACCATCCATTTTCTTCTGTGTCATTCCAAAGATTTCATGGTAAGAAGACCTTTCAAAAAAATGCCTCACTCCTCAGTTAACTGGAGTCCTAACTCAAGACGTACACAAACACAACCAGCTGACATGAGTTATTGCATTTATCATCTCATTACTGACTGCAGAAGGCAGGCCTTTGACCATGAGTTGTACCTCGAACAATTCACAGTGACTCCTGGAAAACCACAGCCTTTGGTCTTGTGAAGTGAATGACCTCGGGCTGAATTGACCTAATCTGTTGTGATGAGTAATGCAGAGACTCGGGTATTTACAGCGATGGTGAGGAAGATTGCTTTGTGATGTTTGTTTGTTACACAGAGTGCAAGATAGGAACCGAAGTAGGTCAGATCTAGACCGTATCACCACTCGGCATCCCATTAAATCATGCCCATAATATTTGTTTTAGACCAGTTAAGTAGTGTGTTTTGTACACATGCGGATGTATGGGTTGCAGTTCTATACTGTTGGCTCGGATGTGGGACTTTCTTGGCTGTGATTTCGGGAGATTTGGATGCGGTTTGTTCCCTCTCTGCGTCAAACACATCAAACGATCTTTTCATCAGCTGTGACCTCAGGATCTATTCCAGGCTCTAAGCCAGCCTGATATCAACAGACATTTATCACCACCACCCAACATTAAGACTCATCAGCAAGCCCATAGAGCTATGATTAGACCTCATAAAAAAAGACATGCCTCCATGGTTGTTTGCGTTTCTTAACGTGAGAGTTTGAGTAAGAACGGTTCCAGTTGTGACATGTCCTGACTTCAGAGGAACATCTCTTTCATGCGTTACCTCATTTGATCTTACTTTGCCTCCTTATGGCCTCCTCCCAAGAGGCCAAGTAAGATCATGACATGAACCAGGACAGAGCCTTGGGTTTGATTGCATAAGAGTCCTGTGAAAGTGAAGTCATAAAGCGTGTGTATAGTGGAGGCTTGAGCTGTACTCTTTGATGTTTGAATGACAGAGAAAGGACTTGCACAATACAGCAAGATTCAATGAAAAAATAAGAAATAAACATACTCCAACCTTATTTGATGGACTGAAAAATAAAGGGTAGAAGCTGGGCAACTACAAGGTTAAAAATGAAATCCTCAGCCTGCTGGGAAAGCGTTTTGAGGGATATGTGAATAACCATTGGTCATCCTACTTTTTAACAAGAGCAAAAAAATGTAAAACTGAATTGCTACCTGGTGTAACTACAAGAACATGACAGAGAACGTTGCTAAAACATAGGAAGGGTGAAATGTCAAAAGGTCAGTCATAAACAGTGAGCTGTGCTAGTGTCTTCTACACGCTGAGTTATCTCTTCCCTTCTTCGGCCTCAGTTCCCAGGCTGATTTACAATGCTGCTGTCTGAGTGTGTTCCTGTGGTCTGATGAAAAAACCCCAATGAGCTGCACGACACCTTCACCATATACGCACACACCTAGATGCTTGTGGCTTGCTTCTTCTATAATCAGCCCGTGTAACTACGAGAACATGACAGTTGCAGTTGCTTTGCAGGGCTGAGACACAACACCAAGTTTGAGGGCAGATATTTTTTCTCTACACCATCTGTCACTGTAGCTACTTCCCACCTGTTGGATGAACACTGTGTGCAGTACTGTTCTGTCTTCACCTAGAATATTGTCAAATTACTCAGAGTTGAAGTCAATCATTTGCTCTGTGAGGGAAAAGAAAATACTTGCATGTAGACTAAAAGGTGCACTTTTCTCTGCAGCTTTCTTAATTAATGAATTAATTGTTTCATGGGCACAACTTAGTTATTTTCATTATACATTAATATGCAGATTTTCTTGATTAATCATTCCATCATTTGATCTATAAAACATCAGAAAACTACATAATATGTCCATCACAATTTCCTGAAGTCCAAGGTGATGTTATCAGATGTCTCGTTTTGTGCACCCAACCATCTAAAACCAAAAATAATCTATTTACTATAATGTAAGACAAGGAAAAGCGGCAAATTCTCATATTTAAGCAGCTAAAAGCATCCAGTGTGTGGTATTTTTGCATGGAAACAAACTTAATGACTAATCAAATGGGTGATATGGGAGTATCCAGGCAGTTTTCAGGATGAGAGGAACTGGGCTGTGTAATTAGCTAGCCCAAGCCTGTCATTAACAGAAGCCTCTGGAAGACAGCCAGTGCTAATTGTTTATGTGCTGTCAGTCAAGTCTCTTTGTGCTCTGCAGCTTCCGCACAGTTTACTGCCCTGGAAACCTGTTGTTTATGCCAGTTAAAGCCGATCACCTTGTTCTGCGGACAATGGAACATCTGTGTTCCAAGATGAGTGAGTGCTGAAAGAGGAAGAATGGTGGAAGGAGAGAAAGGAGGTATGGAGACTTTCCCAACTGCAGGGCCCCTCTCTGCCTCGGGTCACCCCGTCATGCTCTGCTGTTAGAGCTGGGGGGAAGCTACAGTCTCCACACACGCACACACACACACACACTGTCACAGTCAGATGAGTCTGCCCTTCATGCCTTGTAAAACACAGTCATCATGCGTCCCCCATCGCCACAGGAAGTATTCTGCGTCATCATCAATCTTGTAGCGTGTGGACTGCATACAGAGCAGAGGAGTTTGAGGTTTTCCAGACTTAGTTAATTTTCTTTAGTCAAAACTTTTGGTGAACTGACCTACTTGTTTGGTGATTATAGTGATATCAGCCTTTTATTAAATATCAGATAAAAGGTAGCTTGTGTCGGTAGCCACATGTTGTTGGTTTACTTCCAAATTAATGTGACAATTAATGTGGCACCAATTGATAAAATGTTGTTTACTAGCCGAACCATTTATTTTATCAGATATAACAAATGTTTTCATGGTCATCCTCCTCCTCATCATCTGTATTTTAATGGAGACGTTTTTCTGTCTTATGTTTCCTGCTGGGATTCAATTTCAGAGAAAGAACATCTTTCTTTTTTGAAATGTTCATAAATCTTAAAATCTAGTCTAATAAACAAATGTATATAGATATTGACTGCTCCAATCCAAACAATATTAAGCCTTCAACATACACACTGATCAAACCATGACCCAAAGGGATAAAGTTTTCATTATGCATGTATTGGGGGTGATTGATCTGACCTGCAGTTGGGTCACAAACACGGAGACAACTTGAAGTTTTACGTTTACTATACGTGTAATTACAAAAGTGATATTACATTGTAATGCTTAACAGGCAGACACACACTGAAATGCTGCTATGTCTTGTCTATATGGGCAAAGAATGGGCCCCATATATTTGAGAATTTCTTCAGGGAACTGGTTTTTCAGAAACTTCAGTTTTCTTCCTGGATTTTTATCAACCCGAGCATCAAATATTATCATGTGGCTGTACAAAGATGCAAAGTATATTCTGAACTTCTTTTTGCCTGACTGTATTTTATGTTTTGACAAATAGCCTTCTGCAGCACATTGTGCAACAGTGTTATTGAAGGGTTTAAACTTTGGTTTTTGTTGGTGTAGGACGTTTTACAATAGCCCAGTGAAAAGATTCTTTTTATAGTTCATGTAATGCAACACGTGGGATTACCAACCCATACAAACACTACACCACTCCATTGTTGTAGAAATCCTCCTGGTCCATCTCATTCGATGCAGATTGGATGATGATGTTGACTCAATCTCTAGATCTTCTTTCCTTCAGTCTAGCAATTAAGTGGACAATGCAGTCAGTGTCTTTCATCCACTGATGTCATGAGAGCCATTTTCTTGTTCCCTTGCTTGTCTAACAGCTCTGCCTGTTTTGTTAGGCATGTCTTTATGTGCACAGGGACTATTAAGGGTTTTATGTTTCTCATTTTGTGTGTGTGTGTGTGTTTGTGTATGTGTGNGCAGAATATATATATATATATATATATATATATATATATATATATATGTATGTATGTGTGTGTGTGTCTTCTGCACTCTTAAGAAGTTGTTTTTAAGTTTTTTTTTTTTCCTTCAAAAGAAATACACTCATACATACATACATAACCCACAACACAGCCTGCTTACNTCCAATCCAAACAATATTAAGCCTTCAACATACACACTGATCAAACCATGACCCAAAGGGATAAAGTTTTCATTATGCATGTATTGGGGGTGATTGATCTGACCTGCAGTTGGGTCACAAACACGGAGACAACTTGAAGTTTTACGTTTACTATACGTGTAATTACAAAAGTGATATTACATTGTAATGCTTAACAGGCAGACACACACTGAAATGCTGCTATGTCTTGTCTATATGGGCAAAGAATGGGCCCCATATATTTGAGAATTTCTTCAGGGAACTGGTTTTTCAGAAACTTCAGTTTTCTTCCTGGATTTTTATCAACCCGAGCATCAAATATTATCATGTGGCTGTACAAAGATGCAAAGTATATTCTGAACTTCTTTTTGCCTGACTGTATTTTATGTTTTGACAAATAGCCTTCTGCAGCACATTGTGCAACAGTGTTATTGAAGGGTTTAAACTTTGGTTTTTGTTGGTGTAGGACGTTTTACAATAGCCCAGTGAAAAGATTCTTTTTATAGTTCATGTAATGCAACACGTGGGATTACCAACCCATACAAACACTACACCACTCCATTGTTGTAGAAATCCTCCTGGTCCATCTCATTCGATGCAGATTGGATGATGATGTTGACTCAATCTCTAGATCTTCTTTCCTTCAGTCTAGCAATTAAGTGGACAATGCAGTCAGTGTCTTTCATCCACTGATGTCATGAGAGCCATTTTCTTGTTCCCTTGCTTGTCTAACAGCTCTGCCTGTTTTGTTAGGCATGTCTTTATGTGCACAGGGACTATTAAGGGTTTTATGTTTCTCATTTTGTGTGTGTGTGTGTGTTTGTGTATGTGTGTGTGTATTGTCCTTGAGCCTCTTGGAATACATCAAAAGCCTGTTACCAAACTTACCAAAGTGTGTGCTCAGCAGAAAGACTCACATGTGTTTCTGATTCCCTCTTTAGCCCATAAATACCATTCTCCTCAGTAGATTGTCTTTCTGTAATGACACATGGCATCACGCAGAATATTATTAATATAATAGTATTTATATATATATATATATATATATGAATGTATGTGTGTGTGTGTCTTCTGCACTCTTAAGAAGTTGTTTTTAAGTTTTTTTTTTTTCCTTCAAAAGAAATACACTCATACAACATACATAACCCACAACACACCTGCGACACACCACACACACACACACACACACACGCAAACATGACCTTCCACAACTCTTGACTCCAAACTGAATCCAGCCACAAATATGGATAATTACAGTGTAGTTTGGGAGCTGTCCTTTGTGAACTTGAATACTGAATTTGAAGTTTTATATGATGATGTTTGCAACACTCGAAGAAGACTCATGTCTCATGTCTCAGCAAATAACATACAGTCTTCTTCCTCCTCCAGGTGGCTCCTCTGTCTGGCAGTCTGAACGGGGAGCTCCTCATGTCGTCTGGCCTCACCAGCTCCACCAGCGCCTCCGACCTGCCCCTGCCTCAGAAGCCCCTAGTGCGCGCCAGCTTGTCTGTAGCGCCAGCCGACTATCCAGAGCGCCCTGAAGTGATGTTGCGGCGCGAGACGGGCTCCTCCACCCTGCCACTGAAGACAGAAGTGCCGCTCCATCTCTTCAGCACCACCAACCAGCAGCACAAACTGGTCGGGGTGCAGCAGCAGATCCCCACCAAGCTAGCCGCCTTCAGCAGCGGCAAAGGGAAAGGAGGCAAGAGTGGTAAAGCTTCACATCGCACTGACAGCACAGGTAAGGAGTTAGACTTCAGATACGGAGTTTCACATGATTAATAGATGGCAGGATGGTTGAGCGGTACTGCATAGTCACAGATTGAATCCACATAACTCATTCAAGTGTTCAGTTATTTCTCCCGGCCTGCAGCTCCCTGGGCGGACAGGACTGTTTGTTGAAATGTATTTTACTAAAAGCAGCTGCTTACAGTTGAACATACACCAACTAATACTAATATGAAAAGGATAATAAAATGTACCCTTTTAAAAATGTTTTATGAATGTTGCACTGAGGTTTATTCCTTTCTCTCTTACTGTTGCTGGTGATCTTTATCAGAGCAGTATTCTGGGTTTTCCTTCCTCACTGTCACTGATATCCCAGCCATCTGTGCCTGACATGAGCTTGACCTGATCAGCATCATTTAAGTGGATCATTAGGGTCACATTAGCTGTCTAAATTGGGGCCGGGCCAGACTCCTCCAGTTTGCTAATGCAATCTAATTTTACAATTAAATCACCTTCTATCTCTGTTTGTCTCTTGTTTTCTTTTCTCCCCTTTCCTCCCTCCACTGGTCCTCCTCCTCCTCCCCCTCCCCCTCCCCCTCCCCCTCCTCTTAGCCTCAGTGGATATGAAGCAGATGCTGAAGTTGTCTGGCCGAGACGAAAATGCCCAGAAGGCCAAGCGCTCGATCAGCCCCCACCAGCAGCTCTCGCTGACAGCCCTGCATCACCACACGGGTACTTACTTACACACACACACATACTGTTCGTGAACACACACTCTCCCTCCTTCACTCCGTTAGGACAGACCCAAACACAATCTCCTCCTGTCTGTCCTTGCCTACTGCATTATTAAACTTCTGTTCTCACAGACACACAAACATGAGACACACACATTCTCCACCTGGGCAAACCCGACTCCACCCGATCACGTTCCTCTCTAAAGCAGCCTTCATGCCCAGCCTCACCCTGTGTAAACACCTATCAATTTCACATGCTTCACTGTGATTAATGGCAGGCTGTACTGCTGACACAGACATTTTAACACTTTAATCCAGTGCCCTTGCAATTACCACTGACAAAAAACACTGGCAGGATTACATGTGATAGATTTCAGTTAGAGTGAGTAAGCCCTGCTGTATTAAACGAGTACAATTGACTAATGTGTCGGTAGTTTTTATGCTATTTTTAGTGTAATCCCTTGTTCTGTAATGACCTTTACTTTATGTCTCTGACAGATCAACTCAGTCCTCCAGACAGCGCAGGAACAGACAGCCAAACCACCTCCTCGGTCAGCACCTCCCTCCCTGCAAATATTCAGAAGCCCCCCATGCCTCCTGCACAGTCCCATCCTCAGCCCTCCATGCAGACTTCCACCATGCCTCCCCACTCACAGAGCAGCGGATTTCTCCAGTTCCAGTCCCACGTGCAGCCGCAGGGCCTCAGTCCAAACACCCAGGCCCAAGTCCCGGTAAATCACGGGCTCAGCCACAGCCACAGCCACAGCCACAGTCACAGCATGCCGCCTCCGTACAAGATCCCCACAGAGGACCTCAACAAGGAGGACGTCATCTTTTTCTAAACTCCAGTTCTGCTGCCCTCAGATCAAGCACTGATCACAAAAACGATAAAAGAAAAACTATTTTGGGATGGTTACTGATCCCCAATCAACCACAAGGTCCATTGCAAGGAGCCACTTATATGTGATAAAGTGACGATGATCAGTGTGGGCAGGTGTGTTGTTATTGACTGTTGAGATCAGGTAGTTAAAATGTATGTACAAAGTTGCAGCAGTCTATTGCAGAGAGCCTTTGTCAGAGCTACAGTGGCTCAGAAAAAAAATCGCAACATTTTATTCAAAAAAGAGGACTTTCTTTTAAACGGTTTCTTCTTTATTTAATTTTTTTTTCTAAACAAGTATGAAGAGGGAACCTTTGGCAGAACAAAGGTGTCTTGAAACAAGTATGAAAAGGTTTAAATGAAGTCGCAACAATCCAAAGACTTTAGCTGCAAGGGCTGAAGGTAATTTGACTGAAAGGAACAATGTGAAAGAAAAACGGTTGGGTGCATTTCAGGAGACTCTGGTCAGGCTGGTTAGTGAAGCATGTACAAAGTGAAAGGTGCAGCGGCGGAGTCCCGGCCTTAAACCTCTGCTTCTACTGGACCTGGAACCACAAGAAATGATTCAACAGAAACTCAGAAGAACTCTTAATACACGGACACTCTCTTCTTGATGTTTCATTTGCACAGTGTAAATACTCCATTCCAGACTTATGAATGAACTTTTGTGGACGAAATGTGTGTTGTTTGGTTGTACAGTTGTGAAGGTTCTTTTAATTTAGTTCTTCTTGTTCTGCTTAATCATGCTTATTGCAGATGGCTGACATTGTGGATTACATCTGTAGTGCTGCCAGTGGTTCCGAAACCTGACTTGCAATTGGTCACCAACCTGTTTTTTCACACTGTTGTTTAATATTACTTCGTTTCAATTAAGGGATAATTTGGCTTTTGGCAAGTTGTACTGTTTTTCCAGCCCAAGCAGAGTGGGACAAACTCAGGGATGCCTTTCTTGTGTCTCTGTACAGTAATGTCAGTGTAGCTTTCTCTAGGTCTGTTCCTGCATTTCATAGAAGCAGCTCTCCTTAAAAACACTGAGGGTTAAAAATTAAACAGTTTTATTTAACCCATTAACAATATTTCCCATTACAGCATTTTCACAAGTAGCTTTTTTATTTCTGCAACTATGGCTGGTTTGTCAGCTGTTTGATAAAAGGTCACTTCTTTAATACAGACATTTGCAACAGAGATTTATGTAAATTTGAGTATGTACTTTATTTAAATTAGTCCTCAACCTTTTAAGTTTAAAGGACAATGTTTCAGACTTGTAGCTGAGCTGCTATTGATCCCATTACACACCCAGGAAATTAGCTAAACTTGGCTAAATTTGGCACCATTCAGTTTATCTTGTAGACATCCAAAAGGCCTCAATGAGTTTGTCACACCCTAGGGTACATTTCCCAAAAACTATCCCTTTAAGAAACACCTGTTTGTTAGTATTTTAGTGGAGCTGTAGTGTACTGTACAATTCAGGACATTTAATGCTGTATGTTCTTTTAAAGGTAGAAATTTTAACTGCTTCATATTTCTGGACAGATGCTAAGAAAAGAGAAAATGTAGGCTTAAAAGAGAACATAAGTAATAGTTACAACAGAGATGAAATGCACTGAAAATATTAAAATCCATCATCACATCAATAGAAAATAGAACATCATGATTTTGCATTAGCTGCTCCAGTAGAATAAAGGCCTGTTTGTTAATCCCAAAGGTAAACGGCTAAGATCATTCAGATAAGTCGGACAATGACAACAAGGCCTGAATGTGCATAACGGAGCACAGTGTTAACGCAGTTTTATATCTTCCACTGTAGTTATTGTAACGTGGCTTCTGTATACATGTACAGAGTTTTCTAGAGCCTCATAGGACAAACAAAAGCGAGGAGTGTACAGAAAACTGAAGCATTTTAAAGTTTATAGTTTCCCCTGCTCATTCCACGTTGGTCCTCATTTTTCACCCAACTGAGGAAATGAAAAGTTCATGTGATTGACAAGTCATTTTTTTTGAAAGCTTGTGTCTCTGGAGCTCAGTTTGCTGACTTGACAGTTTGTAAAATTGCAAAGCCGCTATATCTTTGAGTTAAATATGAAGATGTCCGTTTTAATCGAGGCCCTCAGGTCTCATTGACGATGTGTTTTAATGATTGCTGATGACATTTCATTAGCTGAGTCTTAAATCTCTGTGCCTGAGCGAAAAGCGGTACTGTGACTGTGCAGTGGTCCTGCAGCAAAAGAAGACTATCAGCTGTTGTCTGAGATTTCAGTCTTTATCTTTCTTCACAGAAGAAATATGGGGATGTCCATCCCATTACTTCTCACTGTATCTACATGAGATTCCTTTAAATCCTGAAGTAGTTGACACATTGATGCGTTCTGTGTCTCTGGAGAAAAAAATATTAGAAGAGCTTTTTGTCTTTTGTGTCTTTTGTCTTGTCTGGAGTTTGAGCAAGTTTTCTAAGTGTTGATGTATATTATGTATATTGTTGTACATACCGTACCTGATCTCTTCTGCACCGGCTGCCCTCATCCTACACATTCTTGTATTAGAAACAGATATTTGACATGAATCAAGATGCAAAAGTCAGCCAAAAGTCTGTTTGTGTATATGTATATATACACTTAAGATACAAACCCATGTGTGTATGTACAGTATGGTACGCCTTTGCTTGGATAAACTCGTGGCAGTTTATGAAACCACAATCAGTCATTGCTGTTGTATAAATCAACAAAAATGGAAGGTGTGTATATTTAATCTCCTGATCTGCATTGATGTTGTAGCTTTGAAGTCGAGGTGCAGTGTCTGTCGTATTTGTCCTACAACTCATGAGTGATGTTTCACCAAGATTATGTAGCAGTCATAAAAAACGAAACCATCTGCTCGTTTCAGTCGGTTAAACCAAAGAGACATTCGGCTGACTGGGCTCCTGTCTGTGCTCGTGTATGAAGGATGAATAACACTGTGCTGGTTGTGTGGTCATCCACAAAGTGTTATTACTTGTAGAAACACCCTCCAGGGAGTGTCCATAACAAGTGTGTTTACAGCACATTGTAGTCCAGTTCATATCCTGCTTCAGGTCTAATTTTTGGATTTCCTGTTTGTTTTGCAGCCTCACATCCACAAATCACAAATGTGTCAAACTACACAAACAACAAACCATGAAGTCGACAATAAATCAAATAGGTACGCCAGAGTACGGCACATCCTAACTATAGTGTCTGATTTTTTTTCCATGATCAGTACATGGACTCACTTAACTCTGTTGAATAAATATTGGATTTATGTACGCCAGCACTTCATCATCGCAAAGAACCATGGGCTGTTAATGTGCATGTGAACATACTTTTGCTGGTTTTCAGTGGGTTGAACCCAAATTAAAAAAGGCTTTCCAGATTTTGACAAAACAATCCCAAATAAAGGTCCACTTACTAGCTTTTTCCCCCAGAGCTTTCACCCATCTCTCACAGTCTTCAGCCAGTGCTTAAAAATCCCAACATGAGCGGGAAGTGTTGAAATTGCTATTGATAATATCATGACGGCTTCTAGCTCACATATGACAACTGAACAAACTCCATTCACGGATGAAAACCATATGATATGGTTGAAAGCTGTAGAAGAAGCCAGTAGGTCCACTTTTGAGTTAGCATTGTTTTTGTAAAACAACTTTTTTCCAAGCTAAATAATTAACTTTTATTTACATGTTTGTTCATTTTCCTGTATTTCCCCGTGTCTCTTTTTTAATTCCGTGAGTGAGAGATGTTAAACAACAGGAAAAGTGGTGTAAGAGCACTTTAGTTCTGCTCCAGGTACGAGACTTTTATCTGTGGATTATAATGGGCCTCGACAGGAGAGGTGGATGCTGCCTGTTGCTGTCACTGTTTGGATCAACTCAAGTCTTAAATGTTGTTTTGCTGTACTGAACTACTTAACCTTTTTGCTCTGTTTTAAAACTTGGAAGCCAGTCAGTCACATCACTGTGTGTGTGTGTCTGTGTGTATCTGAGTGTGTGTTTGTGTGTGTGTGTGTGTATGCACTCACCACCAAAAACACAGTGGAAACATTTCTAACCGAGTTGTTTTCAATCGTGTTTTTTATACACACGCGCACACGCACACACTCTCATACACACACATTGGACCTGTAATGTGTAAATAACCATGAACATATTTTATTTCCTCTGCCAATTTTACACTAGTCACTTTGGATAGTAGCATACTTGAAGGGGAAAATGAATATTTATAATGCTTATTATTATTGTCTGTGAACTTTTATTTACCAAGAGCTGTCTAATGACGTTTGTAGCACACAGCAAAACTGATTTTTGTACTGTTTTATTTTATTCACTGCGAGACGTTAGAATGACATGTGGACACGAACTTGCTGCCTTAGAGAGAGTTTAGTAATAAAAAAAATGTTGAAAAGATTTTTCTCTTTGTTTTCATTGTCTTGAGTTTTTAAATCGCAGTCGACAAAAGCTAATTGTTTGGTTTGCAGCGTATTTGAATCATTGCTGTTCAGGCTAGTCAAGCATGCAATGGCTGATTCCCATTCGTGTGAATTTGTATTTACAAGGATTTGTTCTTGTTTTTTTCCCCTCAGCAACTACCACATGAGCGTGTAACATATAATTCTGCCTCATTATTTAGATTTCTACTCACTGCTCGTCAAAATAATCCTGACCACCCAATTAGTTAGCACCATAGCCATTCCTCCTCAGTGTCTAGGAGGTGCAGTAAGTGTTATTGACTCTGTGTTTAGACGACCTAATAACAGTCTATTCCCAGACAAAGCTCTATTTTCAGGTGCTGTGGTTGAGGCTGTTCAATCCCTCTGTAGACCTTGCTAACAGCAGGACTGCCAGTTCCTGCGTTATTGTCATTCTGGCTGGGAAGACGCTACAGTAGTGGCCAGTTTTTATTGTCTGCTGTCATTAGTGGCTTTTCTCTGTCTCCTCTCAACAATTATTTTTCCAGGCTGCTTCCCCTGTGGAGGGAAGCTGCGTTTGTCTCCGTTGTTGTTTTTGTCTCGTTCCTTCCACTGCTCTGCCCATTGCATGTCTCCCTGTCTCTTCCCCTCTCATCTAATGCCTCCAATCCATCTCAACTCAACCGCCTCACAGCTCGGAGGCGTTTTATGTGATGCAGTTTGCAGGAAGTCAGGAGTCTTGGCTGTTGCTATTCTGTGACAGAGGCTCTTCCCACCACAGACTTAAACAAATAGATTCTCCCCAGAGACTGACGTGCAGACGAACCTCCCTGCAGGCTCATAAAACACAGAAAAATCTTAGTTTGATAGACTCCATCTCAGCAGTTGGTTTCTATTTGTTTTTGTTCTTCCACTCAGATCTAACAGCTTCCTTGTGCTTTGGCACCATGCAGGTTGGAATGAGCCATTAGGCTTTTAACAGAGTCTAGCTTGGCCACTGACACCAGAATTCAAATTCAGGGTTCCCAACCTCAAGATGAAGCAATGTCTCCTTGTGACCCTTACATGTGTCTCATTGGTTGAGATGATTTCAACCAAACAATGTTTTTTTGTTTTCTTGTTTGAATAGTTTTAAGAAAGCAGAAGACAACATAAAGTTACCCACTCTACAGCCATGCTGGAGTGTTGGTGAGGCTGTGCTTAAAGGCTAGGTCTGGTAATATTCTATATTTTTCTTCAACAAGCCCCTTTTGATCCTACTAACAAGTATTGCCATAGACTTCAGTTGTTCAAAAACTATTAAAATCACATCAGTGAGCCACACGGATGCACTGGGCATCATTGTTGTTTCTTTATGATGAATGTCAGCACTGTATTTTTTTGTTTTTAGTCAATCCCACATACTCCATCCTGCTGTTACTGCTACTCACAAGAGCACACAAATGTGTATGGTGGAATGTGTAAAGCTGAATATAATACCCAAAAGTGCACTTTAGCGCCACAGACAGACGGTGGAACTTGTAAAGAAATGGACTAACACATTGTTGGTTTTGGTCTATTTACTGGATTTGGTGACAATACTAAGCACAGAAGTGCTTTGAACTAAATGATGCTGTCAACATGCTATTGTCCGAACTTCATATAGATCCATCCAATAGTTATTGAGACATTTCCTTCCAAGCTACAAATGGTGGCACTAGTGGAAGTTTGAGGATCACCAAAGTCAGTAAGATACACATTCTGGATACCATGAATGTCTGTTCAAGATTTCATGGCTATCCATCAAGTAGTTTTTAAGGTATTTCAGTCTGGACCAGCCGACTGACAATGTCATGGACCCACACTGCTAGCATGGCTAAAAAAAAACCTTGTTAATCATCTTGTGACCCTTCCCCTTGTGGGGTTCTTAGGTTGGGAACCATTGCTTGTAAACTACATCAGCAATGTTTCTAAACCAGACTACATCCTCCGTAACCTCCAGCTTGCTGTTTTTGCAAGTGATGTTCTGAAGGAATGTGCTTGTTGGCTGCTTATCTGAGTCTTGTTTCATTGCTCCTGGCTGACACAAAGATCCTCTTGTTGAAAAGACACAAAGCGGACTCTATCTGCCCTCTTTGCTAACACCCAAGGTGATTACGGAGAGATAGCCGGCACTAAAACATGTCTCTCAGCCAAGGCTGCTTCAAACTCTGCTTACACACCCTCCTTGGCAGGCTGTGGTATATTCTAGAAAAGAGAAGTCTGTCCAAGATAAGGCATTTTGATTCCTTGTTTTCACTGTTTGATAAAGAGCAATGAAGGTTGGTGGCCGGGAGAAACTTTGTGTATTTACATCAGTGTGTCTCCTTGGACACTAGATATTTATCATGGGTCGTAAAGTCTGATATGTAAACTTGGAGCGATTTCATGCTGTCTGGCTCATAGTTTTGCTTTGGATGAATGAGAATCATTGTTCCCCCCACCTGCTCACCTGATCTTCCATCTTGCATCAACAAAGGTAGTCCCTGTGAGGGGGGCAAGAGTGAAAAGGCCTCCACAGAGAAAGGTTATGTCAGGTAGGAATCAGATCAGGTGGAGGGCTTTTGTTCTGCCACAAGAGACGCCTCAGGTGAATTGAAAGGGACAGATGGATTATAAAGGAAGTGTGCGCACTGCTGACTCGCCCTTTGTACTCACAACATTTGCATTTTGCAGTCAGCTGTAGCCTGGTGAGTGACTGGTCAGTCCAGTTTTATTCCCATGTGTCCGTGTGCTCACTATACTGCATCAGGAAGTGATGAATGCTGCCATTGTGACAGTTCAGCCCATAACTGATTTGATTCTCAGAGTTATGATACTCAATTATAAAACAATACTTAGTCTTATATTAAAGAAATAGTTTGACAGTTTGGAAAATACATTTAAATATGTTTATTTGCTTTCTTGCAGAGCGTGAGATGAGAAGATCGATACCTGTGTCCGCCAGTTTGCTTAGCTTAGCATAAACACTTAAAGCAGGGGGACACCGATCTGAACCACCAAACCATTATTTAACCCTTTTTGTCCTCCCAACTGCCACTGGACATAAATATGACGTCAGAAATATGTTGGACTCAATCAACTCTGGAGAGACATTAAATTTTGAAACGTAAATTAGGTTGACGTCAAAACTCAATGTGAGCTAATTGACATTAGCTGTGTCTCTATTCAGGGGCTGCATCCTTTGGGGGCTGCATTTGTGCAACAGCAGTGTGACTAGGCTGTGCCATTTCAAAGGCTCCTTCAAATGCAGCTGAGAATGCAACCATATTTTCCTGGGCCACAAATGATCCAATAGGTGGATCATTCATGGCCCAACCTATCCCAAGATTCATTGTGTGCCGGTAATGAAAATAATATGGCAGCAAACAACACCGACAGAGAGCCTGAGCATTACACTTTTGAATGAAAGTATCAAGTTTCAGCCCAGATCAACAGCTAATGGTACAACTGTTAAAACCAAGGACCTTATATTATCAAGTTTTTGTGAAAAAAAGTTTTGTGTTGTCACGGTTGCTAGGCGACAGGATATGCAATTTGTAAATGGATGGTAAAGACAGGCACAGATGGTGAGGCGAAGCGAAAATTCTTCATGCTCCAGACCGACTCATTTTTCGTTCAGACTTTGCGGATGTTTGCGAAGGGCCACACCTTCGTGGACTGCATCTGCCAAAGGATGCGGCCCTGAATTGAGACACTAATGTGTTTGGCAAACATTGGGTTTTTAATCACGACTAGAATGTCAGTATTTTATATGTTAAAATGGCATGAGACATTTGAAAGATTTTGGATTTTGGTTGCTTAACATCATAACTTAACATCAACGTGCCTAACAGAACACTGTCGTAAGTAATCTACATTAAATTAATGTTGGCATTCAATGTTGTTCTGACATTGGACCCAATGTCAAAACCTATATTCAACCTATTATCAACATCTAATGACAATGGCGGCCAGCTGCATGCCTGAAGGGTCTGCTTCTGGCTTTAGCCTTATATTCAGTGTTTGGACATGGTATCAGTCCTCTCATCTAACTCTTGGCAAGACAGCATGTAAGTGTACTTCCCAAAATGTTGAACTATTCCTATTTGAAAAATGAAGAATTCACTACTACTGAACTCAGTAGTAGTATATACAATTTATATAAAGCCAATAATTACACTACAATACAATAATTACCAAGATCAGATACATTCAAGTAGTGCCCACAGCTACAGTAACAATAATAATAATAATAATAAACTTTATCAATACATTATTGTACAAAAACAAGTCTACAAAGTGCTTCACTCACAAAAAATACTCAGTTCATTTACATAGTAAAACGCTTTAAGCATTTTCCATCCACGCTTCAGGATGCAGTATTGTTCAGAGCTGATGCAGTGTGGGAGGTCTCTGTGGTATTTTCAAAGAAGTCGAAAGTACACACACAAACGCACTCTCACACATTTCTGGTACCTTAAGTTAAACGCTAGTGGTGCCAAGACAAATAGCCTCCTGGCAGCAAGCATGGAAAACCCTCCTCCAAA